GAGCCGCAAGCGGACGACGATCCGCCTCCGTGAGTCGCGCTCGCGCAGGACGAGAAGCCAGACGTCGGGGGACAGCTCGTCGATCCACATCCGCCGGCGCTGTGCGAGCAAACAGTCAGCATCGGGAGAGCGCGTACGTGAGCCGAAAGGTGTACCTCGCGCCCGCGCCGCACTGCGCATTCGAAGCGGTCCCGCACTGGATGTTGGTCGATGGCGGGCAGACCTGGTTCCCGTCTGAAGCGGCGCAACCGCCTGCTCCTGCGGGAAAGCCGAGAGGGCTGTAGGGTGAAGCGTCGTCAGCGTACTCCGCGAGTCGAGCGAGGGAGGGACCGTACCCGTAGATAGGTACTATCGGGAACGGCGCGAAGAAGGCGAAAGCGTGGTCGTTTGACCGCTCGAGCTGCTTCTCCCTCTTCACACGTTCGTACTCCGGCAACTTGCCGTTCTTGACATCCTTCGCCAATGCCTTGGCGTCTCTCACTCGCCGCGAGTCCAGCTCCTTCTGCCGCTGCTGGCGAGCGCGCTCGGCTGCGGGATGGCCGACTACAACGAGCGAGTTGTGCTCGGACGGGTGGGTTGCGTCGGCGTCGGCGTCTGAGGGGGCAATGGGACCGGAAGGGTAGGCGGTGTTCGACGAGCTGAGGCCGAGCCGGTTGGCGAAGCGAGAGAGAGGAGGTTGCGAGGGAAGCGGGCAGCCGCACGTCGAGTAGGGGACGCCGAAGCGGGCCTGTGGAATCAAGAGACGTCTTTCAGTGAATGAAGAAGCGTACGCGCGGAGAAAGACGCACCCGCCAAGCCTGGGCGGTGATGTCGAACCCATTCGCGAGCGTCCCCTCCGCAACCTTGTCGTCGTGGTCGACAGCTCGCCCGATAACCCTCATCGTGTCGGAGATGTAGCTTGACTTGAGCTGATGCGTGTGCCAAGCGAGGTCCTACGAGTGCAGAAGGTCAGATCGGCTTGCAAATCCGCAAAAAGGCGAAACGCACGATATCGAGGGTCGGGACGAAGAAGGAAGACGGCGCGCTCGAGATTAGATCGAGGAAAGCGTGATAGCGTGCGACACAGCGCGACAAGATCGTGTCGTCGTCGCTGAAGCGGTCGAGGTCGAGCCAGCCGAGGTCATGCATCTTCTGGATGAAACTGCCTTGACGCAAAGCCTGCCAGCGAAGTGTCAGCCGCGTTCGGTAGGAAATGGCTGAAATAGCTGAAGAACGCACTGCCATCGCGAGGTCGAGCGAGAACGGCTCGCCACGAGTGTAGCGCGAGAGGATGTTGGTAATGCTGCGGCGCGATAGGAGCGGTTAAATGGCCTGCTTTTGGAGGGAAGCGAGGGGAGACTCACTCGCGACCTGTGAGCACCATGGTGCGCAGGACAGCCTGTGCGCCTTGTAAGCTGTATTTGCAAAGCTTGTTGACCTCGGCAACCGAACCGCCGAGTTTCTTCGACTTCTGGACAGCCGAACGGACGCGCACGGCTTGCGCAGACTCGGCAGGCGACGAGGGACACGAAATAGTCGACACGACGGTCCCCCTGCGAATGAGTCATCAGCTGCGGTGGGAGAGGTGAAGGAATGGCAAACGCACGCAAGACTCGCTCGGGCATCGTTCTTCGCTTGACAGGCGACGAGATCTTCCGCAAGCCGGGAAGCGCCGAGCGACTCGTGCGTGACGGCGAGCTTGTTGCCGGACGACAACGTGACGCTGGCGAGGAAGCCTTGCTGGGCGTAGCCGGTGCCTTCGCGGGTCACCCAAGCTACGAGGAGAGCGTCTCAGCTCAGGCATGGTCTAGGTGCAAGAGTGGAACGCACGAGCGAAGTACTCGGCGCCTTCGACGACGAGCGGCCGGCCTTGTGTTTCCTCGAAATGAAGGATCGGGTCGAAGGTCTGGCTCGTATGCGCCTCCCAAGACGCAAAGGCGCTTTCCGGCGGATTGTACGTAGCCTTCGCATCGATACAGGCGATCTGGGTGGTTCAGACTGCTGAGTAAGCCGGAAAGGACGGAAGAGGCGGAATATGACTTGCGATGCGCTTCAGCTGGTCGTCTGTCAGCCTGATCGCATCGCCGTGAATGCGGATACGATCTTCGGCAAAGCGCCTGTGGGGATAGCATCAGCTCACAAGCGAAGGAGAACCGGCGCGGAACGCACAATGGATTGAGCCGAGCGGAATGCCAGATGAGCAGGACGTCCAGCGGGGGGTACGGCGAAGCAGCCGGCTCGCGCGCCCTCTGCTCGAGCCACAGCTCCATCCGCCAGACCGCGACGTACAGGAAGACCGTCCAGCGCGCCTTCGGCTCAAGTTCCGCCGCGACACCCTTGCAACCCGCTTCCACCTTCTGACGCAAAGCATTGAAGGCGGCAAGCAGTTTGAGGTGTGCCTGCAGGTCGCCATTGTCGACGAAGAGGATGCCGCTTTGCTTGTTGACCGTGTACGAGTCGGGGAAGTCGGTGAAAGCGGGAGGAGGGGCGCTCGAGGCGGCGTCAGACGTGTAGGAGGGCGGGGGGTTGCTGGACGCCGAGCTCTTGCGCCGCAGCATGTTCGCAGTAGCGCAGTGCGGAGCAAGGGAGAGGGAGAGAGTAGATCGAGCGAGGACAAGAGTCGTGGGAGGATGACCCGGACAATGAGCGGACACGGCGAGGACGCGCGCGAGTACGGCGGAAGTCTGGCAGCCTGTGTGAGCTGTAGAGGACTCGGTAAACCGGCCAAGCAACTCCAGCGAGGACAGCGCACGTCGTGGTCGACGACGACCCGGGAGTTCGCCTCTCTCGCTCAACCCGCTCGCTGGGACACACGCTGACCCGCTTGCTGGGCTTGTCTGTGTGCTACCCGAGTTTCTCACAGCTCAACCGAGCGCTACGACCGACTTGCGACCCGCCGCGACCTCTTCTTCCGCTCGCCGTTCCTCATCACGACGCGTCTCCAAGGAGGCTACTCAGCTCGACACAACCCGAGGAGGGTTCTTACGGGTCTCATTCTGCCTACACAACCTGCTCTCACAGCTGGGACGTCCAGCTGCATTCTACGCCCACATATCTAGGCGCTTTCCCGTTAACAGGCATCAGAGCATCGGCTTGGGCGTGTACGAGGTCCACAGCGCCAAGGCGGCGGGCGTAAAGCTCGTGAGTCCTAACGAGTACTTCCCGTCGTACGCGTGAGCTCACAAGTTGCAAACAGGACGGCCTCGCATCCGACAACGCCGAAGAAAGGACCGTTGCCGGCATGATTGGCGCGCTCGACGAGACGATTGCAGCGTTCGAGCAGCTGCAGACGAGTGTGAGGGAGCTGAGGGCGGAGTTGACGGACCTGAGGGCGGAGAAGGAGCGGGCGAAGTTTGTCTATGCGGCTAAACTCTGCTTGAAGGGCGCGCTTTGCCGTTTATTCACATCTGACTGTCAACTGATGACTTCTCGGGTTCTGCAGCACTCATCCTTGACCTGATGTTGAAGTATGCCGAGAAGTCGGACCCGGAGACTGCCTCGGACCTCTACGACCGGTTGCACGTTCTCTGCCTCAGTACGTAACGCCTTTCGCTTTTCTCGTTCTCCTTCTTCGCAGATGCTTATCTCGTTCCTATCGTACTTTGCAGCGAACTGGCGCGGCCTGCACGACAAGCTCCTGAGTAGCTACAACCGCCGCTACCTCGAGGGTATCGTGCCGCCCTCCTTCTTTGACGCGTTGCAAGCCGCTGTCAGGGCCTTCAAGAACAAGACACTCGACCCCGCACGACCCCTTCACTGCCTCGCTCCGCATCACAACGGGTGAAGACCTCAAGGCCAAGAACACGTCGAGAAACGAGGACGCCAATTCCACAACCACGGCCATCTTCTCGGAGATCTGCCGGGACGTGGCACAAGTGGACTCGACGCGCATCGCATCTCTCATTGAGCTGTTGCCTGAAGGTGCGTACTCTCCGGCTGCTTATCTAGTCCGCACTGACGCCGCATGCAGAGTCCTGGTCGTGACCCAAAACCCGACATCCAGCGCTCTGATGTGTGAGATATATGTTGTTGTGTCTTGCTCTCGTTATGCCCGCCAACGCAATCGCCAATCAAGCTTCATTCCTGATGTCGAGCTTTACCGCTCGCGGTAGTGAGCCTGACCAGCGAGTCTACTACACCTGCTTCCGCTCGACCGCACTTTCTCCTCACGCAAATCGACTACCCGACTTTCACCCCGCGCGAGAGCTGCCTTGACGATCCGTTGCGAGAAGCCGAGAATGGAGCGGAATGCGAAGAAAGCGGTGAAGAAGGTGCACTGCGACATGAGGCCGGTTCGCGTCAGTGCTACTCGAGGTGTCGAGGAGAGAAGGGGAGAGCGAGCGCACCACGACACGATCTAGCCCTGCTTTCGCGCGACTTTCGAGGCCGGAGGTGGGAGGGGCGAATGATGCGCAATCCGGGCGGCTTTGGCGAGAGGGCTGGGGAGCAGGCGTGTCGTCGGAAGGTGACAAGCTGGTCCGTCGTCGTACGCCGGCCGTTCGCTCCTACCCGCCTACACGCCCAGCATCACCTTCTCCAGCGGCGGCAGCCTCCCCTCGACACCATTGCTGATCATCCTCCTCGTCTCCTCGAACTCGTCGCCCTCCTCAAGCTGCCTCATCTCCCTCCCATACCGCTTGCCGAACAACTCGACCGCGAGCGGCACGACGTCGAGCACCTTCTTCCCCTCCCCCTCCTTCAACTTTCCCAACTTCCTCATCTCCGCCTCGACATTCGTACTCTGCACATCCGCCAACCCACACGCAACGATCTGATCAAACCACGCCTTGGTCTGGTGTTCGACGTTGAAGCTGAATCCGTGCAGCGAGATTCGGCGACGGATGTGGATCCCGATTGAGCCGAGTTTGGTCGTGGGTGAGGTGAAGACGCCGGTGTGTTCGAGGGGGTGGACGGGGACGGAGAGCGCGTGGGCGAAGTCCTCGAGGAAGCTCTCGAGGCGGTCGACGTAGCAGCGAGTCGAGAGCTGGGGAGCAGCCGCCGAGCGTCAGCAAGGTCAGCCAATGGAGTTCTACGGAGACCGCACACACCTGCGCAGCACCGATGTCCATCAACGAGTACCCGACGAGCTGTCCTGGCCCGTGATACGTCGTCTGCCCTCCTCGCATCGCATGAACATAATCTGCCCCGAGCGCCCTCAACCTCGCGCCCTCCTGCTCCAGTTGCTCCGGGTTTTTCTCCCTCCGTCCAGCCGTAAAGACCGGCGTATGCTGGAGCAACAGTAGGACATCGGTGTCCGCGACCCGTTTGAGCGAGTCGACCCGATCCGCTTCCCACTCGCTCGACTCGGCAGCTTGCAGCGCCGCCTTTGCCGATAACCGAGCCTGGACGAGCGATTCTTGCAGGAGGAGGCCGCGCTCGTAGGGTATTTGGCCGGGGAGGTAGGTCCAGAGGATGGGGGAGCGAGTCGAGGCGGCGCGTGAGGCGGCGGTGGCGGCCTGGCAGGCGGTGCGAAGGGCGGAGGTGCTGTGCATGGTGGGAAAAACCTTGTGCGGAGATCAACACGGTCCCTCGAGCGAGTGCGGGTGTGTAGCGGATATGGCGCAGGGCGAGGAGGAGTGGTTGCGCGAGCGAAGGAGTGAGGGCACTGCGCGGCGCGGGAGTTGGACAGGGCGAGTCGGTGAGACCTCTGAAGCAGTGTAAGGCAGTCCAAGCAGCAGCTCGCCGTGAGTGGTACGCGGAAATGGCGCACCCTCGACCGCTCGCTCGCTCACCGAGTCGCGCTCGCCCGCGCCTCCCCTCCTGCTCACTTGGACCGGCTCTGGCTCGCCTCGACTCGCATCGTGGGACTATCTGACTGGCCAGCCGTGCTGCTACACTCCAGCTCGAGCGACAGCAGCTTGTCCGACCCCCCCACTCGCGGCGGTTGTCGTGCAGGACCATCCTCGCATCCTCATCGCCAGACTTCATCTCTCGTGCTCTCCCAGCCTCGCAACCTCGCCCGTTCGCATTGCCAACGACCCAGGCGGGTCTGCGGGAGTACCCTCGAGGCTGTGGGCCCAAGCTGAGGCCTTGAAAACTTGTTCAGCGACGGGCAGCCTCGGCATGGTGCGAAATCGCCCTCGTTTCGCTCGCGGCTCCTCTCCTCCTGGCTTGTCCTCCTCGTTCTCTTCGTTGAACGCCTTCTCTTCTCCTTTCGACGCCGCCACAGAGCTTCCCTCGTCGCCATGAAGGTCCTCAGTCTCGTCGCAGCCGCTGCACTCCCCCTCCTCGCCTCGGCGCACTTCACCCTCGACTACCCCTACACTCGCGGGTTTGACGAGGACCTCGAGCCCCGTGCGTCCACCCGCGCCATCTGGACTCTCTGTCCCGCTGACGATCACTCGAACCCGTAGAATTCTGCGGCGGCTTCAACACCCCCTCCTCCTCACGCACCCCTTACCCCCTCTCCGGCTCGGCACCCCTCCTCATCGATTCGCACCACCCGACCGCCGACGTCGCAGTCTTGATCTCGTTCGACCAGAACCCGTCGAACTTTAGCGCGTTCAACCAGACGAGCGAGGGACAGGGGTATGGGCTCTTGAAGCCTTTTGGGAGGATCAACGGGCAGGGAGAGGTGCGTTGCAAACCTGGCCGTTGTTGTGCGCTTGCGAGCCTAATTTCACGCTCGTGCAGTTCTGCTTCAACGTCGACATCGCCTCCCTCGGCGTCAACGGCCTCCAGAACGGCTCAGTCGCGACGATCCAGTGCGTTCAGCTGCCCACTCTGCCCTTCTCTTCCTCCTCTGATCAACTCATACGATCGCAGAGTCGAGTTCAACGGCGGCGACGGCGCGCTCTTCCAATGCTCCGACATCGTCCTCATCACGAACTACTCTGCCCCTTCGAATATCACCTGCTCAAACGCCACTTCTTCCGCCTCTGCCTCGTCCGGTCCGAGCAAGACCGCGTCGGGCAGTACGGGCGCTCCGAGCCAGACGGGCAGCCCGAGTAGCGGGGCGGGGACGGTTGTGGTTGGAGCGGTTGTCGGAGCGGTCGCAGCGGTCGCGGGCGTCGCGCTTGCTTTCTAGGCGCGATAGAGGCAGTAGATACCCCTTCTGAACATACTGGCGACTCCCAGTTTTCCCATCGCAACGAACGACTGAATCTTTTCCTCTCTCACAAATCGCCAGTGAGAGCAAACCTGCGAACGTAAGCGGTGAAAGAGGGAAGCCTTGCTGCTCAAGGATCTATGCTACACGCTATACTGCTCGACATGCATCTCGACACCCCCGATCCGAACCTGCTTGGCGAGCGGAATCGTCGCGACCGCGTTCTGCAGCTCAGCCTGTTCCGTTTGACAGCGTCAGCTTGCACATAGCGATGCCAGGAAAAGGACGGAGGGACGCACCACCATATGCCCCGGACCACAAACAATCACCCCCAGCCCGCCCGTCCGGATCCTCAATGGCCGTCCCGCAGCGCGATCCTTCTCGTCTTCGTCCGCGTCCTTCGACCCCTCGAGCGTACCGGTACAGCACCCTCCGCCTGTCGTGCGCGAGCAGCATCCACCGCATGAGGAGGCAGAGGGCTGAGAGGGACGTGAGGAGGAGGGAGCGCAGCAGGAGGGAGAAGAGGTGGGTCGGTTGGCGGTGGAGACGGCGAGGGAGGGGAGTTCGAGAATCTCGTCTGCGTCGGCGGTGGCGAGGACGGGCTCCTTGCGTTTCGAGCAACAGCTCTTCGGCGCGTCAACCGTCTCCTCCTCCTTCTCGCCCTTCTCCGCAACGTCCTTCTCCTCGTCTCCGACAACCAACTCCCTCGCATTCCCAACTCCCCCACACCCGCCCACACATTCCTCCTCATCATTCGCGCACATCCCTCCGGCTCCTTCTCCCCGTGCAGCAGCGAGTTCTCCGCATCGACAGACGGGGAAACAGTGGCCGCAGGGTGCGAGGGCGCGGTCGATCGTTTCGGTGACGAGGGAAGAGAGCGACGGACGGATGTAGGCGATTGTTGCGGCGGGGAGGGGCAAAGGTGATGACGAAGCGGGAGGAGGGAGGGGAGGAGTCGGGGAGGGCGAGTCGGAGGTCGGGACTGTCGCGGTGAGAGTCTCGTCGCACGTCACAAACACCTTCAACACGACCCTCAACCCAATCTTTCCCTCCTTCGCCGCATCGCAAACCTCACTCAACCGCTCCGCAAACCACGCAAGATGCGCGCGCTGCCTCACAACCCAAACGACATCGACCCTCCCGCCCTTCTTCGCTTGCAAGCGACGGCCGACGAGTTCGTCCAAAACGCCGAGGACGAACGACATCCCGCTTCCGCCTGCGACGAGGAGGACGGACTCGGTGTCTTCGAGGAGAGCAGGGGAGGAGTACGTCGGCAGGCCGCCGTACGGTCCTTCGATGAGGCAGGGGAGGTAGACCGGCGAACGACGAGTCGGGTCGGCGGAGGTCGAGCGCGACGACACGGCGAAACGGAACAAGTCGTCCGTCCAGGTCCGCTTGCCGCACGAGCGGGCGTAGAGCTCGATCCCGCGGTCTGTCGAAGCGGCGGCGAGGGAGTTGGCGGCAAGGTGAGGCGGTGCGGTGGAAATGCTGAACGGGTGAGCTTCGAAAGGCCGGACAGCGGAGCGGATGGCGTGCGTCGTGTCCTGCCAGATGCGGCTGAGGCGGCCGACAGTCGGTCCGTGTCGCAGAGCCGGCGGGACGAAGAATAGCCGGATGGAGAGGTGTTGTCCGCCGCGCCAGCCTCCTCGCAGACCCGGCATCGACAGCTTGACCATCCCTCCATCCAGCGGCTCAACCTCGACGAACCGAATCCGCATGCTCGCCATCCGCCCTGCCAAGTCCGCCACGTAAATAGCAGCGACGACCCAGCTCGCCCAAGGGTAGGCGTAGACGGTGTGCTTGTTGAGGAAGACGAGGAAGCCGATTAGGCCGACGTAGTGGAGGGTGAAGAAGATGGGGTAAGAGAAGCGGCGCATCGGCGGGAGAGAGGAGACAGTGATGAGGAGGAGGAAGGCGAGGGCTGCAATGCCGCGGCGCTGTTTCTCGCCGGCGAGGAACTCGGTGCGGTCGGCGCCAGAGTACTGTGTGAGAGAGTCTGTGAGCCTAGCCATACTGAGGCTTGCGCTTGACGACTGACCTGAATGGTCCAGAAGTAGAAATGCAAAAGAACGAGCAAGACGATCATCCGCCCGATCCAACGATGCAAGAAGTTGACCGCCGTCCATCCTCGTCCGAGCAACCACTTGACCGGTCCGTTCTTCGCGCTGAGTATGAAGAGAGGCGGAAGACACGCGACGGCGAGGAAGCCGAACCGGTTCGGGTTCTCGCGGAGTTGCGATTCGGGGAGGAGGGTTGCCAGGATGAAGGCGGGGATGAGGAGGACGCTGAAGAGTTTGCCGAGGCTGAACGGGAGATATGGTCGCGTGGGGTAGCAGGAAGGCGTGTAGGATGCTCCGGTGCCGGGGATCGTGGGAAGACGGTTGAAGAGGGCGGGAAGGGGAACGGTGAAGCGTGAGGCGGAAGAGACTAGGGAGGAGATGGCGACGGTGAAGCGGCGGACGCTCCGGGGCAGTACAAGGTTGCTCTGTCGCCTTGTCGATCCTCCTTCGCCCTCGAGTCGCTCATAGCCTCCCTGACTCCCCTCGTGAACGCCGAAGAGTCCCGCCCATCCTCCTAGACTGCGGTACCACTCGTTCGTCGCAACGACCCTGGCGAGGAATGGGGCGACAACAAGGAATGCAAGGGCGAACGTGCACGTCCAGGCAATCGTGAAGCGGCGCTGGTAGACTGGGTCGGTGGTGTACGAGTCGTAGACTGTGAGACGACGAGTCGGTCAGCTCGCTCAGCTCTTCGGTCAGTCCGGCGAGTCGACACGCACTCTGCCACCCTGTACACGGCTCTGGGATGCCTGCTGGCCCGTAGCACACTGACATCGCTGCTCTCGCGCCCCGTCGCAGTCGGGTGCCGAGGAGGGGTGCAGGGGACGCCGAGACGAGCGGGGAAAGCGAGTGCCTGCCTAGGCTGGATCACAAAGCTGTTCTGGCGACTTCTACGTCGTCAAACAGGCCAAAGAGCGCGAGCAGTGAGCGGTTCGAGGTCGACCCTCTCGTGCGAAACTGGCGCGGCTCCTCGCTTCCTGCCATCGACTCGCCCCACGCTCACAACGCCCTCCTGCGCCTTGTTGGATACGCGAGTCGGCTAGTCGACTCCGCTGGACCCGTCCGGACCCGCCAGTCCGACTTCCAGCGTCCCACACCCTCTCCCTGTGCCGGCACCTCTCGACTCCTCTTGGACATGGCTACACGGCTCGCACCGCGGCATGGAGGCATGGGGATGGACGGCATGGGTGAGTGTGGCTGCTTGCCCACGCTGCGAGTGCCCCGCTGACGATCTGAGCGCTCGTCGTGCAGACATGGGCATGAGCAACTCGACCTCGGCAATGATGATGTCGACGTTCTTTACCACGTCGTGCGCGCCGTTCTTCTCCTGCCAAGTCGTCAGTACCTAACAGGAGACGCCCCGCGCAGCCTCGGGTCGGCCAACGTGTGGTTTTCAGGGTGGACTCCGACGACCGTTGGCGAGACCTTCGGCGCCTGCCTCGGCCTCTTCTTCCTCGCCGTTCTCTCGCGCTTCCTCTCAGCCGTTAAGGCGTGCGCAGAGGTGGCCTGGCTGCATTCGTACCAGCAGCAGAGCCGTGCGAGACGACGAAACGGACCGATCGCCCTTCCCGACTCTACTCCTTCTCCGCCCAACACGCTCGACCCTTCCGCCGCGCCCACCACTTGGCAGAAGGAAACCTCTCACGACTCGCCTGCGCCCTCCTACCCCTCATCCTCAACTTCCTCCCGCCGACCACTCTTCTCCCCTCCCTTCTCCCTCGCAATCGACCTCCCCCGCTCCCTCCTCTTCGGCCTACAAGCCTTCATCGCCTACCTCCTCATGCTCGCCGTCATGACCTACAACGCCTACTTCCTCATCGCCATCCTCCTCGGACTCGTCGTGGGCGAACTAGCGTTCGGAAGGTACATCGCGTTGCTGCTAGGCGCGGGCGCGCATGCGGGACATGGCGAAAACGGGCTGCATGGTTGAGTAGCTGTAGAAGGAGGAAGTACGCGGGATTGTACTGCAAGTTGCAGTTGCGACCAGGCTCGACTCGATCGCCTCCGCTGCCCGACCAAGTCACTCCTCTGCCTTCTTCGCTGCGCTCGTCTGCTTCCCGCTCTCAGCGACATGGGCAACCCGAACAAGCGGTACCTCGCCCTCCCGCTATACTACTCCGGAATACCGGCAGACCACGCTCACGCACCAGCAGCGTACGCTCGCGCGCCAGACAGCCCTCCGTCCTCCGTTCCGCTGTTCCCTCGCATCACGGGGATGGCACGAAGTGGAAGCGACCTATCGGAACGAGTTCGAGCTCTTGAGGTTCAGGTGGCTGAGCTTCTCCTTCACTTCAAGTGTAGGGATTACTCGGACAGGTTACCGATAGTTCTCCAAGGTGCGCTGTGATCCCAGCATCGTCTGCACGTTACTAACCATCAGCTTCGCGGATTAGCGCTCGTCGTACACGCCGCTTCGCCGACTGAGGATCGAAAAGACAACGCGCGAGCGTTCAAGTGTGTTCAGAGGCTGAGTTAAGGTTCGTTGCCCTCTTTCTCTGCTTCCTTGGGGCGAGTGCTCACGTTCAGTCTTCAACAGGAAGCATAATGGAACTTCCGACACGTCTCTTGGCTCAACAAGCCACTCTTTCCTTCGGAACCAGCTTCTTTGCTGCCCTCGAACGCAAGGACCCGCCCTTCGACGTCCTCTTCCGCATCCTGGACGACGACTTCGTTCAGTCCTGCCTAGAGGACGGCTACACATGTTACTTCCGTCCACCGACTTTCGACGAGGCGGTTGCGTTGCTCGAGGAATGGGGAATGAAGAGAAGCGAGGCGGAGAAAGTGATGGGCAAGGTTCCTCGTCGTGCGTATTGCTTCCCAGTCTCGTCGTCTCTTTGGCTGACGATGTAGAAAACTCGCAGGATACCTGCATCAGACGAGGGAGGAAGCAGCGTACTGGGCGCGGCGGGTCAGGCGAAGACGAGACGCGATGTCCAGCAGGGAGCGTAGAGCGATGAGCGGTACAGGCGGGAGATAAGCGGGGAGGGGACAGCGGGAAGGGGAAGTTGAGCCTCGTCGAGAAAGACGACTCTCCGCGAGCAAGGTGGAACGGCGAGGTGACTGTTTTGTATTGCTGCAGTGTCTATAGACATGGGACACGTGCGAGACGTCTTGTGTGTGCGGAGAGAAAAGGATGCGGAAAGAATAGGTACAGGGAAAGGGTCGAAGCAGGAGAGGGAGGAGGGCGCGGTTTAGGCGGTCGTTGAGGCGGGGGCAGATGCGGAGGCGACGCTGGCGGTCGACGACATGCTGCTCATCATCGACGACGAGCTGCTCATCATTGAGGAAGTGCTGCTCATCATCGACGACGACGACGCCGAGTTCGTCGAGTTGCCGCCGCTCGTCGAGTTGCCGCCGCTCGTACTGTTGCTCCATACCGACGAGAGGCCCCAGATGGCGGCCTGAACTTGCGCGCCTTCGGGCATGTCGCCAGTCGCGAGCGCGATCTTCGTGAGGGGCTGCTGCGAGTAGACGTCGACCGTGGCCGCGTAGGTGCCCTCGTCGATGAAGAGCTCGAAGAGGGAGCGGTCAAAGACGCCCTCGATGTTGTAGGCGACGGTAGGCGCGGTCTGGGAGAATTGCGAGGTGAAGAAGGGGTTGCCGGTGTAGCCGCGAGTGCCAGAGCGGTCGATCCAGGTGCTGTTCGAGTTGGGTCCGCCGAAGAAGTAGCCCGCGGTGAGGTTCTCGTTCGATGACGCCGACGTCAAAGTCATGTTAAGCGAGGCGTAGTCGCCAAGCGTGACGTTCGACGGAAGGGTGATGTTGACCGAGAAGTAGACGGCGCCCGAGGTGATGTTGGAGAAGTCGGCGCTGACAGTCTGGTTAACGAGCGAAGTCGTCTCGTTGCCGCCCGGGAGAATCGACGAGTTGCGAACGGCGGAGATGTTGTACGGCTCGGAAGCGAGAACCCAGCCGATTCGGTCGGCCTCGACGAGGTAGTTGTTGCGCGGGAGCGAGTCAGCCGAGCGCCAGAGCTCGTTCGCGGTCGGGACGAAGTCGGTGTACTGCCAGTTCGAAGCCCCTGCAAACACCGTGATCAGAGCGCTGAACCATCGAAAGGGAGTGTCCTAGACGCACAAGCCATGCTGACAGCTTGGTCGCCAGTGTTGTAGAAGAACTGGCCAGCGTAGTTGTCCTGCGAGAACGCACATGTCAGCACCGACTTGCGAGAGCGAGACGAAAGGAGGATGAGCTGACCTTCCCAAAGTCGGTGAGCTTGACCGAGTCGTCGAAAGGCGTGAAGTGGGTGCCGTTGAAGTCGCCGACGAAGTACTGGGTGATCGAGCCGCCGAGAGGAGCGCCGGGGTTGATCGAGACTGCGAGGGAAGGGCAGAAGGGTCAGCATCGCAGACGCGAAGTTCGTACAACCGCAACGAAAGAGAGTGGGAACGTTAACGCACTCCACATGACCCAGGCAAAGTCTTGCGAGGACGAGTTGCTCGAACTGTTTCCACCACTGCTGCCGCCTGCTGCGCCGCCGGTCGACGAAGGCATCGCCGACGACATGGTGCTCGAGGCTGACGCCATACTGCTGCCCGAAGACATCATGGTGGATGACGACGCAGAGCCGGTCGAGCTCGCCCTGCTGCCGGACGACATTGCGCTTGACGCGGACGGGCGGACGGCAGACGAAGCGCCGCTCAGGAGGGAGGTCGCGCCGCTAGCGAGAGTACTGGCCTGACGGCGGGCGAGAGAGGCGCTGGCGGTCGAGACAGGCGAAGAAGGAGCCGAGGAAGAGGACGAGAACATCGACGAGTTGGAGGATCCGCCGGATGAGCCCGACGAGTCAGACGACGAGGTCGCGTTCCTGCGGCGGATCGGAACGCGCTGCAGCCCGGGGCACTCATACTGCAGCTGAGTGAAGCCGTGGCGCGTGAAACGCGAGACTTCCGTCCAGTTCTTGAGGTTGGGGCTCGTGTAGATCGCGATGAACATTTCCTGGGCGTGCGCGACCGTCATGACCCAGTGGTCGTTGTACCAGATGACCTTGGGGTCGCGGAATTGGTTGCTGCCGATGTCGATGACCGGGTTTCCCGAGTAAGGCGTGAACGACATGCCGCCATCCGTGCTGTACGCAATCTCCTGAGTCTGCTTTTCGGGCGTGTTGAGCGTGTAGATGGCGACGACACCGGGGTTGCTGGCGTTGTTGTTCGGGAAGAATCCGGAGGTGTTGTTCGGGTCGAGGACACCGCTGCCGGAGAAGACGGCCGCGGTCGAGTTGGGCGGGAAGAGCGCAATCGGCTGGTTCACCCAGTGGTACAGGTCGTTGCTGGTAGCGTGGCCCCAGTGCTGGTTGCCGGCGACGAGGTCGGTAGGGTTGTCTGCGGGCAGAGAGCGTGAGCGGTCGTTCAAGTTGAGGGCGAGTTCTGGCTCACACTGGTAGTAGAGGTTCCACCCCGTTACTGGGTGATAGAACAGCGAATTGGGGTCGTTCATAAAGCCCTTTGGCGGTGTAAAGTGGACTTGAGGACGGTACTGGCCGCTGTAGTCGCCTTGGATGGGCGTGCCAGTCGGAACGGCGCCTGGGGCGGGCAATCCTGAGACGGACTTCGTCGCTGAGGGTGCCGCACTCGAGGACGATCCGCTCATCATGGTGGACGAGGCACTCGAAGCGCCGCTCATGCCTGAGCTGCCCATCATCGACGAGGAGCCGGACTGGCTCATGCCCGACGAGCCACCCATCATTCCGCTCGAAGCGGACGCCGCCGCCGTCGAAGCCGCAGAGGAGGCGCCAGACTGCCTGCCGGTCGCGGTAGAGCCGGCAGTAGCGGCGGAACCGAGTGCCGAAGTCGCGAGGGAAACCGTCGAGAGAGCCTGGCGCGGAGCGATAACTGCCGCCGAGGCGGACAAGGCTCCTGCGAGCGTAGCGATGAAGCGGGCCTTCATGTCGAACTCGGCGGGGCTGCGAAGCTCGAGCGAGGAGTACGGAGGAGGGGAAGAAGGGCGGAGGCCGGGGAGAGGAGAGGGTGGGCGTCGATCGATGATGCAGCCCCTTGCGGGCTGTGCATCAGTGCGGAACAGAGTCGTCCTCTGAGAACCCACCGAAGCCGAAGCCAGTCTAGCGTCACAAGCCGAGTAGGAATCGATGACGAAGGAGGGTCAAGAGGCCGAGGTTTGAATCCCTGCGACCCAGCCGGGTGGGCAGCTGTTCTATGGCTGTGCAGTCACCTGTGCATGTGTGGACAGCATCGCACGTCCGCACGTCCCAGCAAGTCATCCAGCGCCGTGTGAGAGTAGCGAGAGGGAGGACAAGGTGGACAAGAGGTCGCCGCGGCTCTCGCTGTCCGCCCACAACCGCTCACCCGCTGTGCTGCGCCCGAGTCACCTCCAGCTGGTCTCACTACACTCATAGGACCTGCTTCTACCGACGCCAGCCTCCAACGAGCGACGGGCGTGCCGTCACCTCCTCCCCACCGTCCTCATCAGCCGAGGGAGCGTCAGTCGCCGCAACGCGCTTGGCTGCGGGCAAAGGCTGCGCAATCCGGTCAGAAGCCTAACTGGGCTCGGTGCGCAGAGCGGCACGATCTTGCGAGGCGTACGTGCGGCTGCCGGGCTCCCGACTCGACGACACCCCTCCCACCGAGCAGCGAACGGACATGTCGCGCTCGTCAACCAAGTCCGCCTACATCCAGACCGACACGGGAAACCTCGTCTCGCGGTCCTGCGTCATCTGCGGGTCGTCCAACATCGTCCTCGGCGGCAAGTCGATCCTCCAGCCTGGCTGCATCCTGCGAGGCGACTTGAGGCGGGCGGGTGCGGGCGCGACGGCGGCGGGAGGTAGGGAGGCTGCGACGGTTGCGATTGCTATGGGCAAGTACTGCAACGTTGGCGAGGGAACAGTCCTGCGGCCGTGCTACAAAACCTACAAGGGGTGCGTCCGACGCTTCTCTGCAAGACTTGGCTCACTCTCTTCCGAGCGCAGCGTCTTCTCCTACTACCCGATGAAGATTGGCGACTACGTTACGATCGGCGCAAACAGCGTCGTCGAGGCAGCGAGCATCGGGAACGGCGTCGAGATTGGCAAAGGGTGCATCATTGTGCGTCGCCCGTTCCTCCCTCAGGCGTGATCTCGCTCTCCCTACCGTTCCTGGCTGCTTGAAAGATCTGGAGGACTTTGTGCTGACCTTGCGCCTTCTCGTTTTGCCTCTTACTCCCGATCCTGCTCGCCAACTCGTCTCTTCGTCTCTTCACCCCATCATCCGCTCTTTTCGCACCGTTTACAGGGTCCTCTCGCCATCCTCAAGGACTTCTGCCGGATCGCAGACGGAGCAGTAGTCGGAGCAGGGACGATCGTGCCGAGCTTGACAGAGTGGGCGGGAAGTCCAGGTGCGTCTACCCTTCCTTCCATCTCTCGCTCCCGCTTAAGTCGTGCCTTTCGCAGCTCGCCCGGTCGGCCAGCTACCTGAATCGACGCCGGAAGTCGTCGAGGCAAAGGCAAGAGCGGCGAGGGCGCAGTTTCAGCCGGATTGAAGATGGCGGTCCTCGTCAAGGGGTCTCTCATCGTGCTTGTTGTACTAATCTCGCAACGCTGCATTGTTCCACTCCGCTCGCGAGGGATCTCGTGCTGGTTTGTCGAGACTTTGGAAGTTTGGAGGCAGAGCGCCTCTTCGCCTCTGCTTCATCCTCCGCATCAGGACCAGGGGTTGAACACATCCTCGTGCGACCGTCGCACAGCTTCCTCGATGAATTGCGAGCGTCCTTCTTCTGCTTGACAAGGCCGTTGACACATCTTACTCTTTCTCATCCGGTCCTTCAACTCGCTTGCTGCTTTTCAGCGCTCGCCTCTCTTCGAGCGTCTGGCCGTTGCGAAGGGGATTCAATGATTGGTACAGGACAAGGAGAGCAAGCCAACACCAGTCAGGAGAAGATACAATGGGGTGAAGCTACAACGCTAGAGACCTCCTCAACAGCAGTGCTTCGCCGTACACCTCGAAGTCGCTTTGCGATTGTTTGAGCAACTTCTACACCTTACGGAACGCATCTTACGCCTGCCCGGGCTGGACCGCCGGTGAGCTGCTGTGGCGGAACAAGAGCCCGGCGCTTGGAACGAGCGCGCGTTGCAGCTGGCGGACGGGGTCGGACGCGGCGTCATACTCTCCTGCACGTCCACATAGTTAGCGCGAGGTTCTGAAGGGACAAGCCCGCAACGTACGGAATTGACGCCGGAGGTCGATGACGACGCCATTGTCGAGGCGCAGCGGTTCTTCATCTTCAATTGACGGTGCCTGGACTTGCGTGTTCTCGTAGGTCCAGGCGTCGAGCACCGGCCCATCGTATTTGGTGTGGATGAAGCGTCGGCGGAGGAAGGCGGGCACTAAGCCGCGACAGCCACGAGAGAGTCAGTAAAAGGACGATGCGGGGTACTTGCGATGCGCGGGAGATCCGCGATGCGCGAGAGCTCACTTGCAAAGTTCCTGTACTTCCATAGTTGCGCCGGGTCGCCCTGCAATGCCGTCAATGCTTCAGGCGGAGAGTACACCTTCGAGCCGATTGTATCGAACACATCCTCCGCCGCTCTTTCCAGCCCGCTGACTTGACAGTAGAGCTCCTCGAATTCGCCATACCAAATGGGGTAGTCGATCTCGAGGAGGAGTTGGACGAGGAAGAGGAAATGGTCGGGGTAGAGCGGGACGCCGAGCTGTACGCAAGGCCGGCGGGTCGGCGGTCGGAGGCGGGAGGTATCGGTATACGGCTCGGAGTATGGCATAGAGTGCAGGCAAGGCGGTGAAAGAGCTGGCGAGTGAGCGTCCAGAGCGGGTGAGTATAACGAGGATGAAGCAGGTCACCAACGAAACGCACATTTGGTCGTTCTCCGTAGGCGTGGGAAGTCCTGCACGCTGTCGCTGTGGCTCGCTCGTACCGCGTCTCTTCCGCCGCACCGAACAGCTGTTGTGAGAGGGTGGGTAGAGGCGATGAGGCGTCAAGCGTCAAGCGTCAAGCGTAGGGGTTGGGGCCGGCGCCGGCGAGTGGAGGGTCAAAGGGGAGAAGTGTAGCTGTAGCAACGTTCTTCGACGACTCTGTGTGAGTTTGAGCGAGTTGGGTGGTCTGAAGGAGATCAAGAGGAGATGAGCGAGTCCGTCTCAGAGGGGATTTGCGAGGCTGAGGGGCGTCGTTTGATCTGTGGCACTAGAAGGCAGGCAGCAGAGTGACGAGCAGGTGCGCGAGGGGACGTGTGAGGAGGGAAGAGGCGAAGAGGGGAGCAACGACCTCTCGCGCTGAACCACATCCTCAACTGCCTCTTCTGAGGGATCGAGGACGCTGTACACAAGTCTCTAGTCCTCTTGACTGCGACGGTCGTCCGCCTTTCGCGCCGCAACACCTTAGACGACTCGCATCCTTCTTCATCAGTTAGCGACTCGCCGCCGTTCGAGCTGCACACAAGCCCTTCGCAGGATTAGCCGTTGCGCCAGCAAGTCTCCTCGATGGCCAGCGACGATGTCGGTGCAGCAGTCCTCCACGATCGAGGCGTAACGACCTCGCCAACCTCGTCCAACGCTTCTGTCGCCTCGACACGGACCTGCCGGATCTGCCTCGACGAAGGCGACGATGAGGTGCTCGGGAGGCTGATAGCGCCGTGTCGGTGTACTGGGACGGTGCGCTTCCATCCCCTCGGCCTCGACTTCCGTCCGCTGATCGTTTCTGCGACTCGCAGAGTCGTTACGTTCACGACGGGTGCTTGTTGAGCTGGCGAACGTCTGTCAAAGCAGAGAGCTTCTATGCCTGTCCTCAGTGCGGAGCGCGGTACCGCTTCCGAACAACTCCCGTCTCATCTTTGCTCGGACGAACCTGTGAGTTTCTTCCCGTCGCTTGGAAGGCGAGGTCTCGCTAACTGGCTCATTCGCGTATGCAGACTCGGCAAATGCTCTCGCCATCCTCATCTCGCTTTGCCTCGCCATCTTCTTCGGCTTCTTGACGGATCCGCTGCTGCGACTGACGGAGCGCGAAATGCTGAGCTTCGGGAGCGAGCAGCTACCTCGTTTGCTTCCCCTCCTCTTCAAGGCAAAATCGAGAGGCTAATCACTCGCCCCGGCAGACCACTGGTTCGATGAGCACCTCGCAGCCGGCGACGCGGTCCGCGAAACCGCCTCCTTCACCGGCTTCCTCTTCCGCGACTGCACCTGGTCGTCGGCACGCGAGTCGTACTGGGAGCAAGAGACGACTATCTCGGAAGATCCCACGCCGTTGCCAAATCCTGTCATCAACATGAATATCCAGGACGTCGAGGTCAGGCGGAACCTGACGAATTGCGGGCGGTTCTGGGGGAAGCGGTCGGACGACGAGACACAAGTGCAGGGTGTAGGGAAGGCGGTGCTGCACGTCGTTCGCGGGTTCGCGCTCTTCTCGCTTGCTCGAGCTTTCGTCGGCCGATTAGGTGCGCCTGTTCGCCTTCCGCCATTTCTTCCTGTGCTGACCGTTCTTGTGCGCAGTTCGACAATACTTCCTTCTCGCCATCACGCTGCGGATGGTCTTCCCATCGCTCGGCTGCAAGCTACCCTACAACTCGTTCGCCGACCTCATCTCCGCGAGCTGGCTCGGTATCGACGCTTCCTTCGTGCGTCACACTCCTCTCCATCCAACGAGCATATCTGATCAGCGACAACCGCAGTTTGCCGATGTAGTCAAGATGGTCCGGCGTCGAGCGAAAGTCGCACGAAGTCAAGACGAGATCGCGTCGTGGTGGCAGTTCCCGCTGGTCATGGTGCGCTCGCCTTCCGCTTCCCTCCTCGACACCTCGAGCAGCACTAATGCGAAACCCGCCTGAACGCCGCAGTGTACCTTCTTTACCGCTTTCTTCGCCTTCCGCTCCATCCTCAGCTTCTCACAAGGGATTGTCAAGGCAGCACTTGCACGGGTGGAGAGTCTGGTAGTCGATCTGAGCGAGGAGGACGATGCAGTAGAGCGGGAGCAGGTGCAATATACTCGCTGATCAGGCTGACTACCGCGAGCGGTAAAGCTCGACATCAGGAAGGAAGCTCGATGGCAAACGCAGATTGGCGGGCATAACTAGAGCGAGGCACAACAACAAGTATCTCACAAATCAGAGCTCTACAGGTCGGGTTACAGCTCAGGACCAAGAGTCTGCATGCGCAAGCGTCAGCGCGGAGTAGATTAGCAGCCGGAGAAAACACACCTTCAGGCAACAGCTCAATGAGAGATTCGATGCGCTTCGAGTCAACTTGTGCCACGTCCCGGCAGATCTCGGAGAAGATGGCCCTGGTTGAGGAATGGGCGTCCTCGTTTCTCGACTTGTTCTTGGCCTTGATGGCTTCGACCGTTGTGATGCGGAGCGAGGCAGTGAAGAGGTTGTGCGGGTCAAGTGTCTTGTTCTTGAAGGCCCTGACAGCGGCTTGCAACGCGTCAAAGAAGGAGGGCGGCACGATATCCTCGAAGGCGGGGCGGTTGTGGCTACTCAAGAGCTTGTCGTGCAAGCTGCGCCAGTTTGCTGCAAAGTACGACAAGAACAAGATCAGCACCTGCAAGAAGGACAACGAGAGAAGCGAAAGGCGTGACGCACTGAGGCAGAGAGCGTGCAACCGGTCGTAGAGGTACGAGACCGTCGCCGCGTCTGACTTGTTGGCATACTCCAACATCAGGTCAAGTATGAGTGCTGCAGAACCCGAGAAGTCATCAGTCGACAGTCAGATGTGAATAAACGGCAAAGCGCGCCCTTCAAGCAGAGTTTAGCCGCATAGACAAACTTCGCCCGCTCCTTCTCCGCCCTCAGGTCCATCAACTCCGCCCTCAGGTCCGTGACCTTCGCCCACAAGTCCCTCGCCTCCGCTTGTAGCGGCTCGAGCGCTGCGACCCTCTCGCCGAGCACGCGGATCATGCCGGTAACGGTCCTTTCTTCGACGTTGTCGGATGCGAGGCCGTTCTGTTTGCAGCTTGTGAGCTCACGCGTACGACGGGAGGTACTGGTTAGGACTTACAAGCTTCCCGCCTGCCATCTTGGCGCTGTCAGGCTTCGGGTGACTGGTAAGCCTCTAGATTTGAAGGCGGAGAATGCAGCTGGACACCAACCCAGCTGTGGGAGCAAAATGTGTGGGCAGAATAAGACCCGCAAGAACCTTCCTCAGCCTGTGTCGAGCTGAGTAGCCTCCTCGGCGGGAGACGCGCGTGATGGAGAACGGCGAGCGGAAGAAGAGGTCGCGGCGGGTCGCAGGTCGTTCGTAGCGCTCGGTCGAGCTGTGAGAAAGTCAGGTAGCACACAGACAAGCCCAGCAAGCGGGTGTGAGCGAGTCACTGCGAGCGGGTTGAGCTAGAGAGGCGAAGTCCAGGGTCGTCGTCGACCACGACGCCCGCTGTCGTCGCTGGACTTGCTTGGCCGGCTTACCGAGTGCTTGACAACTCATCCAGGCTGCCGAACTTCCACCGTACTCGCGCGTCCTCGCCGTGTTCCGCTCATTGTCCGGGTCATCCTCCCACGATTCTTGTCCTCGCTCGACTCTCTCTCCCTCTCCCTTGCTCCGCCCTGCACTACTGCGAACATGCTGCGGCGCAAGAGCTCGGCGTCCAGCAATCCCCCGCCCTCCTACACGTCTGCTGACGGCGCCTCGAGCGCCTCCTCCCGCCTTCACCGACTTCCCCGACTCGTACACGGCCAACAAGGAAAACGGCATCCTCTTCGTCGACAATGGCGAGCTCGACACTGCCTGGAGGTGCTTGTCGCACTCGGAAATCCGGCGGTCAGCAACAATGCGGACGTCAGCCAACACTGCGACGAACACTCTCTGCTGTCGTCACCTGGCAAGCTCTCGCGCTCTCGCGCTCTCACACCTGGCAAGCCAGATTCACTGTCTTGGCTACTCTGTCGGCCTTGTCGGCGCAGTGCTCCGCAAGCTTACTAAACACCTTCACTCGACCTCGAGGCGGATCGTGCAAGCGCCGGATCAGCCGGAGACGGGGACGCAGCCTGTGCGGGCTTTGCCTGGGAAGTTCTGGGATGGTGTAGGTGGAGGGGCAAACGGTGCGATGCAAAGTGAGGATGTCAACAAAAGCGGGCGGGGCAGAGCTGAGAAAGGATGCGAATCGAGAACTGATGCATGATCCGACTATGCTATGCACAATGCGATAAAAGAAGAACCGAGAACAAACACGACGACAGCGCGAACGACTGCGCGAGACCCTGTACATCCCCTGCCTCCCGCTTCTCAGTCCATCTCCATCCCGTCCTCCTCCACCCCAACCGTCTCGTCCTCGTCCCCGAGATCATGCATCGCCTCCTCCCTCTCCCTCATCCTCACAAACTCCCCCCACTCGTCCGACGTCCGCTTCTGCCTTCGCTCGCGCAGGATCCGGTCTTTCGCTGACTCTCCCTCGGGTTCGGGCGAGGACGACGGCGGCGGAGGCGCGAAAAACGGTGGTGGGCGGTAGAGGATCAGCTCCCCCGCAGAGGAGGACGAGTGAGCCGCCTCGTGTAACTTGCTCAACAACAACCTCGAAGCCGGATCGTCCTTTCCTCCCCTCAACGCAAGCGGGTTCACCTCGACTTCCTTGTTGACGGGTGTAGGCGCTTCAGTGTCCGAGTCTGAGTCGAGTGAGGAGACGTAGATTGTGTGTGGGCCGATGGGCCAGGAGGAAGAGGCGGGGCGCATGTCGATTTCTTCCGCTTGGCCTGCTTGTTCGGTTTCGAGCGAGGTGGGAGAAGGAAGGGGAGGAGAGATGAAGGAGGATTGGGACCAGGGGACCGTGGGGAGACTTGTTCCGCCGCTCCCGCTTGGGAGGGAGGGAGAACGCAGGCCCGAGGCTGCGGAGGTAGATTGGACGGGTGACGTTGGCGGAGCGGCGGGGAGCGAGGGCGCTGAGATGGGTGGTGATGAGCATGGTGCGTGTGGTGGTGGGTGGAAGGACGAGGAGGTGGAAGAGGATGGACCCGCTGGAGGGAACGAGACGGGCGCGAGAGTCGAGGGTGGGAGATGGGAGGTGTTTAGCAGAAGGGGCGTAGGTGGTGGTGCTCTGCCGTTCGTGAAAGGCGTTGGAAGCGTCGAGGGAACGGTCGAGAGGGGCGAGTACGTCAACGTCGTGGGAGAAGCGGGTACGCCTGCCGCCGTCGACAGCGACAGTCTCCCGAACGCCTCGTGGTCCGGCGCTATCCGCACGCGCTTGGGCGCCCTCTCCAGCGTCCCGTCATCGTCTACCCAACTCTTCGTCTGCACCCCCAAGTTGAGCCCGAGGCTGCTCGTCCCGTCTCCCTCCGCGCCAGGCCACTCCTTTATCGGCTCGAGCGTGCTCAAGCTCGCATTCGAGCTAGTGGACCTCGTCCGTGCATGCGAGAGGGGAGATGCGCCTCCTGTCGGGCTCGTCGGGACAGGCTGAGGAGCGGGGGTAGGTCCAGAGGGGAGAGCCGAGTGCGTTGTCGGGTGTGAGCGTTTGAGGCGCGGTCTGGATGGAGTCGGGGGAGGTGAGAAGAAGGACTGGGCGGCGTGCGATGTCGATGCGAGCGGTGCGGTGAACGGAGGAGGATGGGGATGGGGAGGTGAGGGGAGTGCAGTGAGGTTGGGTGAGGGAGTCGGTGGGTGCGTGTGGGGTTGCGGTACTGGCCGGTCCATCCCAGCGGTGCTCACAGCGTCCACAAGCGAGTCCGAGCGAGAAGAGCGAGGGGAAGGTGATGAGGAGGAGAACGACGTCGAAGAGGACGACCTCGACTCGCTCAGAATGATGCCTCGAGATGCTAGTAATTCATGCAATGTAGTGACACTCTGGACAATACGACCAGCTTAACAGTCTGCGGCAAAGTGAGCAAGTCGTCCTCGTCGTCGAACGGAGCTCCTCCTGCGACCACCCGCTCGTCTCGCTCTTCCAGGCTCACTAACGCGGCAATGGCCCGCTCAAAAGGACGCAAGAACGCATATCAGTCTACCCAATCCGGCACAGCTTCGCCCGACCCCTCCCCGTCCTCTCATCAAGCCACTCCGAACGAAGGAGCTGACCGTCCTGCCTCACCCACGCCCTCGAACGCGACCACCGCAGACGAGGACGACATGGACGACTTTGAGGACGCGCAGGGAGGAGAAGCGGCTGGCAGAGCGGGAGGGAGCGACGAGGGAGACGAGGACCCGGAAGACGGCCAGGTGGGGAACACTCGCGACGACGGCGCGCGGGACGGTCGGGAGGGTGCGGATGGGGCGAGTGATGACGTGAATGGCGCAAGTGCGGAACAGGGAGACGCCGACGAGGACGCCCATCTCGCCGTCGACGGCGGCCGGTCCGGAGACGGCGACGGCGACGGCGACGACAGCGGCCGCTCTTCGCCCGACCGCGCACCGACGCCGACGCTCTCTTCGACGAACCCGTCCTCTGCGACGGGAACGACTGCCGGACGCACCTCGTCACCGCCGTCGTCTCGCCCGACTTCGGTCGCTTCGTCGTCTGGCATCGACGGGTTGAGGCAAGGCGCCAACAGGCTCTCGCTCGCTCTCTCGGACGACAGTCCAGGCGAGCGAGACGATGCAGACGTCGACACCGACTCGCCTTCGAAGCGCCCCCTCTCCCTCTCCTCCGCTCCGGAAACGCCAACTTCACCCTCCGGTTCCTCCTCTTCCGCCCCTCCACCCCCCTCACTCCCGCGCGCCCGTTCCTCGCTCCTCGCTTCCTCTCTCTCCGGTCCCGCTCAAGACCCCACGAACGTCGGCCGCGACGCGAGCGCCAGCCTGACACAAGCTGTGTGGAGGCAGAGTCTCGGGTTGAACGCGAGTCCGGGATCGAACGGGTTGGTGAATGTTGTTTTGAGTGATAATGAGGAGGAGGTCGAGGGGGAGGAGGAGGGGCCGAGTACGCCGAGAAGGAGGGGGGCGAACGGGTCGCCTGGAAAACGGAGATCGGTCTTGTCTTCTTCAGCGGGCGACGACGACTCGCATTACGGCGACGAAGACCTCGACCTCGACGCCGAAGCGGACGAATCACGCGACTCGTTCCCCTCCCCTTCTTCCTCGCACTCTCCCTCCAAATTCACCTCGACCGCGAACCCTCGTTTCCCCCGAACATCCGCCCACCTCATGCCTTCCTCTCCCTCGCGCGACAGACAAGGCAGCATCGCCACTCCGCATGCAGCAGACGGGTTCATCTCTCACCGCGCGTCAACAAACATCTCCTCCTCCTCCACCTCCGCCGCAAGTCCGGATTTACAGCCCAAAGCGAGTAACGGGATCCAGAAGTTGCAGAATCAGTTCTTAAGGGTCAAGGAGGCGGAGGGCGCGCAAGGGGAGGGAGCGGGAGCGGAGGCGATTGATTGGGACTTTTGGGGGAGGGTCATGAATGACTATGAGGAGGTTGCGAGGACTCAGCGTGCGTTCGCACTCGCCATTGTGCGCTTCGTTAGCTGGAGGTGGGCTGACCAAATGCTTTTTCTCTCTGGGGAATCGCAACGCACAGCCCGCGAGCTGTCCAGAGCGATTCAGCGCGGGATCCCTCCTGCACTACGAGGAATGGTGTGGCAACTCATGGCGTTCGTCCCCCATCTCCTCCCTCTCACCTCCTCCATCTCACGCCCTCGTTCCACAGCGCCGCCAAAGACGAGAACCTCGAATTCGTCTACTCGGAACTCCTCAAACAGTCGTCCCCGCACGAGAAGAGTATCGCGAGGGACTTGAGTCGGACGTTTCCCAAGCATGAGTATTTCAGTGATGCGCAGGGAGTGGGGCAGGAGAATTTGTGCGTGGTGGCTCGTTACTCTCGGCGGCAACTCGCGCTTGAGAGTTCGCAGCTGATTGAGCATACTGTGCTGGGCAGGTTCAACGTCGTCAAGGCATATTCGCTCTACGATGACGAGGTGGGCTACACCCAGGGCCTGCAGTTCATCGTCGGACCTTTACTCCTCAACGTGTGTCGCATCTCGCTTCCTCCCTTGGATCTTCCCTGACGCCGCTCGCGCCCACAGATGCCCGACGAAGAAGCCTTCTGCGTCCTCGTCCGACTCATGAAAGCCTACGACCTCCGCTCGCACTACACGCCCAACATGCCCGGTCTCCAACTACGCCTCTTCCAGTTCGACCGACTCGTCGAGGAGTTGCTGCCGAGCGTGTTCTTGCATCTGCTGAGGCAGGGCGTCAAGAGCAGTATGTATGCGAGTCAGTGGTTCTTGACGTTGTTTGGGTGCGTAGCGGGCGATCCGGATCCTTCTAGCCTGTCCCGCGAACGATGGGCTGACGGTCGAAGAAAACGTCGTGTACACGCACAGCTATCGTTTCCCCCTCGAACTCGTCTCCTCCGTCTTCGACCTCGTCTTCGCCGAAGGAGTCGAAGCCGTCTTCCGCTTCGCCATCGCCCTCCTCAAGCGTAGCGAGCCCTACCTCCTCACACTCGAATTCGAGGACTTGATTGATTTCCTCAAGAATGGGCTGTTTGAGGTTTATGCGGTGCGTGTCGCGCCTCCAGCTTATTGGCCCTCAGCGAGACTTCGCAGGCTGACGATCTGCTTCTTGCGCACGCGTCAACTCAGCCCGATGAGGGGGAGCTCGAGCGGGATCCGCAGGCGCAGTACAAGGTACACGAGTTCGTCCGCGAGGCGTTGCAGGTCCGGATAACGCCGATGATGCTGGTGCGTATTTCGGTCTTTCCTCTTGACGGCTAGGACGTCGTGCTGACGCTCCTTCGCGGTCGCAGGACCAATTCGGCGAGGAATGGGCCAACCTCTGCGCCGCCCAAACCGCGCACGCCGCCGAACTCGACTCGCTCCGCAAAGCCAACCTCCAGCTCTCCATCCAAGTTCGGCAGCTCGAGACGAGTCTCGCGCAGATCAACCAGGAACACTGCGAGTTGGTCAAGCAGGTTGTGGCGTCGAGATTGGAGAGGGAGGAGTTGGAGGATGAGTTGGTCAAATGTGCGTGGTCATGCGCGGCGCCTGTCGATCCCAATGATTTCTTGCACTTCAGACTTACCAACGCTTTCGGTGATCTACACAGACAAGCTCGCATATGCCGACTTATCGCATCTCGCCGCCGCCTCTCAAGCCTCGACCTCCCCTCTGCAAATGCGCCGTCAAAGCGAGATGAGCATCTCGTCCTCGCTCTCGCTCGACCCGCGCGAAGCCGAGGAAGACACCTCTTCCCGAGGCGGAGGAAGCGCGCGAGGCAGCATCGGCGGCGGGTTTGGGTTGGGCGGAGGAAGGTGGTTCTCGGGTTCTAGCTCGGCGATGAGCCAGAACGGGAGTAGTCAGGGGTACTGAAGGACGTACTCGTGACGCCGTCTATACGCATATCGGAGGAGAAGGAGATCCTCCGCCTCGCACCCGGGTTATTTAAACAGTCGTTCCCACTCTTTCTTGTAGCAACACCTTCTCCGGCTGGTCCCGCCTCTCTTTCCCTGTCTCTCTGCATCGTTGGCTCGTCCTGTATGACTTCGTCGAGCACCATGAGCGAGAGAGAGCAGTTCAGACTGTCCATCCCTGCTCGTTGGCGAAGAACCGCTCACTCTGCGCCGCTGTCATCACCCGAACGGCTCGCTGCTAAGCTCGCAGGTCTCCTACAGCGCTTCTCGAGCTGCGATTGTCGTCTCAGCGCGCCAAATCGCCTGCGCCGTGCGCCAACATCCTCGCTCCCCTCATCAGCGAAGGTCTCGAGGGACGCGACAACACGCCCAGGAAGGGAAAGGGAGAGCTCAGCAGCTTCATAGGGGAGGAATAGGGTCAGCGAAGGCGTAGTGTGCGCCGGGATGGACTTCCGCTCTTCGACGGACCCGACCCCACCTCCCGACCTGTCGACCTTCTCCCTCGGCCCTTCTCCCGCCTTGCAGCCAACTCTGTTTCCGTCGACCTCATCTACGTCACATCTCAGCTCTCATGACGCGCGACCCGATCCATCTCGCCTCTCCTCCACGAACACACCCTCGACACCGAAAGGTCGAACGAGGCGACTCTCGTCAATAGCGACGGTACAGGGCACGCCTGTCATTCCTATCGAGCGAGACTTTGGATGGGACACGCCGGCGATCGGTACGGGGGCCGGAGGACGCGGATCGGACGGGAGAAGGAGACTTGGCGGCGAGCGTGTGCGGAAAGCGGTTGGCGAGGAGTCGAGGCGATGTGAGTCGAATCCGTCATCTATATCACAGAACGGCGTGGAGCTGCTCGAGGCGCCTAGCTGAGATTGCCGCCAAACGCTGACCGAACGACTCGTACGCTCGCAGACGAGGACTTTACGACGATTGACTGGGTCGCCGACACTCTCCTCGAACGCTCAAGACGAAGATACGAAGCGGCTACGGCGACACGAACACTAGGGCACAGTTTGAAAGCTGGGTTCTGGCGGGTTGTCGAAGCGGGACAGAGTTGGGGTGTTGTCAGTCTTGTCGGTGAGTCCTGCTTCTTCCGCAGGGAAGTCTGAAGCACGGTTCTCCGTGCTCTTACCGCTTGTGCTGCCGCTTGGTCTCTCGCAGCGAAAACACTAATCTCTGTTACTCGCAGGCGCTATCATCGGTCTCAACGCCGCGCTCATGTCTATCATGACCGCCTGGTTGTCCGACCTCAAGCTCGGGTACTGCACGCAGGGATGGTGGCTGAACCGCAAATTCTGCTGCTGGGAGATCGAGGAGGGGTTCTGCGAGGACTGGGTTACCTGGACGGGCTGGAGCGGTGTGCAGTGGATCGTCTATGTGCTTTTCGCGGTGAGTGGGACTGCTCCTCGCTTTCAAGCGTCGAGCTCTCGCAAGTGGTGCGGGAAGCGGCATCCTGAACGAATTTTGCTCACACCGTTCGTTTCGTAGGGCCTCTTCGCCTTCTCCTGCGCCTTCCTCGTCCGGTCATTCGCACCTTACGCCGCCGGCTCCGGCATTTCCGAGATCAAGTGCATCCTCGCCGGCTTCATCATCAACGGCTACCTCTCGTTCGCGACGCTCAGCATCAAGTCGCTCACCCTGGTGCGTTCGACGCGCCTCCGGTTTGGAGCTTGGTCAACAACTGATTAGCTCCTTATTATCTGTGCGGTACGCCGGCACAGCCTATCGCCATCGCCTCCGGTCTCTCTGTCGGCAAGGAAGGTCCTTCCGTCCATGTCGCGAGCGCGATTGGCCATGTTGTAGCGAGCCGCTTTAGCCGGTTCAAGCGAAGTCAAGGTGCGCTGCCGCTCTCGTTCGACTTCACTACCGTCTGTTGCCTCCTTTGAGCGATAGCGGACGGTTCGATCGAGCGGATCTTGCGGCTGACCTGGATACTCTTCCCGCTTTGTCTGAACTGTAGCCAAGATGCGCGAGATTGTCACCGCCGCGTCAGCGACAGGCGTTGCAGTAGCTTTCGGCAGCCCTATCGGCGGCGTGCTCTTCTCGCTCGAGGTGCGCGGCCCCTCCCGAACTTGACGTCGTCCCACTGCTCACGGATCCGCCTTGCAGGAGATGACGATCAACTGGCCGATCAAGACGATGTGGCGCAGCTTCTTCTGCGCACTCGTCGCGAACGTCGTGCTGTCGGTGCGTTCGCGGACTGCCCTTTCGCGGAGATGTCAGATCGCTCGCGGGGTCGTTGATCTTGCTAATCGCACGCAGGCTATGAACCCGTTCCGGACGGGCAAGATTGTGCTTTTTCAGGTCCGATTCGACCGCGACTGGCACTTCTTCGAGCTCGGCTTCTTCATCCTGATTGGCGTCTTCGGCGTGCGTCCGTCCCTTGCTGTTTCCGAGGAGGTGCGGAACTGACCTAAGCCTCTCCGACGTTCTGCAGGGTCTCTACGGCGCTTTCGTCATTAAGTACAACCTCCAAGTCGCCGCCTTCCGCCGCAAGCACCTCGCCAACAACGCCATCTCGGAGGCCGTCACGCTCGCCATCCTCACCGCCGCTGTCGGCTTCACGAATCGCTTCCTCCGCATTGACATGAACGAGATGCTCGATGTGCTGTTCAGGGAGTGCGAGAATGGAGGCGACTACGAGAACCTCTGCCAGTCAGTCTGCGCTCCCTCCTCCTGTACCAACGGTTTCGCTAGGCCATCACCAGCTCGTTCTGATGTCTCCAACAATGCAGGACTTGGGCGCAATGGCGGATGGTCAATTCGCTACTCCTCGCGACTGTCATCCGGACTTGCCTCGTCATCGTCTCGTACGGCTGCAAGGTCCCGGCAGGTATCTTCGTTCCTTCGATGGCGGTCGGCGCAACGTTCGGACGGATGGTTGGCATCCTCGTCAAGGCGATGTACCGGTGCGTCACCCTTTGCCAACGCGACAGTCGGAGGACTCCACCTGGTCTCCATTGCCGGGTGCTTCCTGACGGGGATCTTCTCTCGCCCAGTGCACACCCGACATGGAGCATGTTCGCAGCTTGCGATCCGGAGAAGCCCTGTATCACGCCAGGGACTTACGCTTTCCTCGGAGCGGCGGCAGGTCTTGCGTGAGTCGGTGTCCTTCCTCGTGGCGAGGGATTGGGCTGACTTCTTCGTATTGTAGAGGCATTACGCGCATCACCGTCACGGTCGTCGTCATCATGTTCGAGCTCACGGGCGCTTTGACCTACATCTTGCCGACTATGGTGCGCTCGACGTCTTCTTACGCGTTTCCAACTGTTTCTTGACCTCTCATGATTCGCGCGCAGATCGTCGTCATGGTGACGAAAGCCGTCAGCGACCAGTTCGGCGGCGGAGGAATCGCCGACCAAATGATCCGCTTCAACGGCTACCCACTCCTCGAGAACCACGACCATGCTTTCGGCGTTCCAGGTGCCTTGAACCTTCACTTTTTTCGCTTCAGCTTCCGAAGCTCACGCTGCCGATGATGCTCCTGCCGCAGTCGCAACCGTCATGCGGAAGGAGCTGGTCTGCCTTCCATCACGGGGCATGAAGCTTGACGAGCTTCGTGCGTTGCTTCCGTTCCTCTCGCTTGCGTCACGTTGCTGACGGCTCTTTGCAGAGCGCCTGCTTGACAAGACAAAGTACCAAGGTTTCCCCGTCGTGAACAGCCGAAAGGACAAGACGCTCCTGGGCGACATCTCGCGACGAGATCTCGAGATCGCCATCGGTAAGCGCGAGTCGCTCGTCCTCTAAACGACGAGAATTGACACGCGTTGTTTCGTAGAGAAAGCCCAGCTCTCGCACATTGTCGCGCCCGACGCACCCTGCCTCTTCTGCCCGCAAGACGACACCGTCTCGCAAGTCGGTTCGCCCTCGCTAGCCAACGATGACGGATGGGGTACTCCGCCAGACGAATGGGACGGAGGAGAAGAAGGCGTTGTCGACTTTACTTCGTTCGTCAATCAGGTTCGTCCAGTATTCCTCTTCTGCCGAGGAGCCAGGCTGACTCGCTCGCACACACAGACGCCGCTGACGGTCTCGCCGAAGCAACCACTCGAGTTCGTCATGCAGCTATTCCGCAGGATGGGGTGAGCCAGCCGTTCCGCAGAGTTCGCTTTCCTGGACTGACAGCTCCGTTCCTGCAGACCTCGCGTCATCCTCGTCGAGCGGTTCGGCGAGCTCATTGGTCTCGTATCGGTCAAGGACTGCTTGCGGTACACGATCGCTCACGAGGCAGGGCACGACCACGACACCGCGCACTCGTCGAACGCCGACGAGCTCGAGGCGACGCTCGAGGAGCTCCGGTTGTGGTGGCGGGATGTGAGACGGTGGATTGCGGAGAAGGTGACGGGGCGAACGATCCCACCCAGTCCGGAGATTCAGCTAGACGGTGCGGCGGTCTTTGCGAGTAGCAGCGAAGATGCTGGCTTGAGCGACATAGACGCGAGACGGGCTCGCGATAGACGCTGAACCTCGCAGACTGAAACAGCATTTGCGCAATGCGGAATGAGCAAGTTGCGATGAGAGGAGCGCGATGCGAGTGACATAGTAAGAACAACAAGCAAGAGCTGCGGGTCCAGGCTAGAAAGTCGTCCATCCTCCCTGGTCCGTCGTCGCGTCGAGCTTTCTCGCGACGAATGTCGGGATGCCTTGAGAGAGCCAGAGCTTGCGGAGCTCGTCGTAGCGTCCGCGGTGCAGGAACTGCGGGAATTGGCTTCGGATGCGGCTGTATGGGCGACATCGTCAGCAAGCCAAAGGACGGCGAAGCAGATGTCGCAACGCACCGAGCACCGACATCGACTTCGCCGTGAGAGTCGAGGTAGGGCGGGGTAGAGAAAGCGCCGCGATCGGTGTGCAAGTAGAGGATGGCATTGCGCTTGATGAGGTAGTAGAGACCGACGGAGCCGGCGCAGCTGTCCGCGTTCGCTCCGGTCAGTGCAGGCGAACAGAGGAGGAAGAGAACCGACGCACGTCCACATGTGCTCGTTGCACTCGCCATGCGCTGCGTCTTCCTCGCCCACCATGCAGCAGAAGCTCTGCAAGCAGAGCACCTCGCCGCAGAACAAGCACAAGGCTGGGTTCTCCGGCACGTTGTCGCACCGTCTGCACTTGGCTTCGATGGACAGGGCGAGGAGGGTGTCCAGCTTGTCCGGCAGGCCGAGCAGCTCGTACGGGACGACGTGCTCGAGAGGCGCAACCGAGGCATCGCTGGCATGAGTGTCTGCGGGCTCGGCGACTGAATGGTCGTCCTTAATGCCGACGTTGTGCAGCAGCGTCTGGCTGGTCGACTCGCGGCACGCTGCAATGTGCTGCCGCAAGGTCGCAAGGTCGGAGTCGTGGGTAATGCCAGTCGAGAGGACGACATCCGGCGGTGGGATGCGAAGCAGGTCGATGAGGCGAGACAGCTCGGTGCGGTCGCTGTCGAGCGTTGCATCCGGCGTTGCGCCAATCACGGCACGGGCGACGATGCCGACGCGGCGGAGGAAGACGGTCGCTTGAGCGTGGAGGTGCTTGCCGAGCGTCAAAGCAAGGTCGGCTGGGTCAAGGTTCGGGAACGGGGCGGCGGGGGCATGCGTGTCGTTGAAGAAGACATCGCGAATCTGCGCGAGTGCCGAGTACTCCGCCCGCTCGGCCGCCGAGACGTCCTTGGCGGTCAAGACCTGCACCTCGCTGTCACTCCTCCCCCAACTCTTGTAGATGCTGAGGAGGTTCTGGGCGAGCGCGGTGTAGAAGGCGACCGAGACGACGTGGTAGAATGCGGATGGCATGCAGACGGCGGCTTCGAGGACCGAGTTGAGCGGGTCGACATTGGTGAACTCGACGTCCGCAAACTTGCTGTCGCGAGAGAAGATGCCGCCGAGCCGCTGGCGAACCGAGACGGCGGCGATGCGCTCGCTCTCGACCGACTGCGTCATGAGGCGAGTCAGGCTGTGCAAGACGCCGCAGAAGCCTTGGACGAGGCGAAGATTGGCGTCCGAGATCGCCCAGGACGGCTCGTCAGTACCGCGGGTTGCGACTTCGAGGCACGAGATGGTGTAGCTCATCACGTCTTGCGACAAGGTCGCAATGGCGTTGTACGGCCCGCCGATCTCGTTCTGCAAGGCCGTGACGACCTGCAGCAGCCGTGCGATCATTCGACCCTCGTTCTCGTTGAAGTGCCCGGGGAGCAGCATCGGTAAGGCCATCGTCGCACGCCAGGGCTTGAAAGCGCTCTTGCCATCGTCGAAGCGCAGCGAGAGCTTGTCGACCCGCTTTGCGAGCGTCTCGTCGAACTGGTCGAGCGTAGCGCCTTCCTCGATCGGGTCGGCGTCCGCTTGGCCCCATTCGGCGAGCGTGCGCGAGTCGAAGCGTCCCTGGTACGGCTGGAAGGCAGGCGAGTCGGACTTGGCGGGAAGTAGAACGTTGCCGAGACTTTTACAGAGCGGGCAGACGAATTCGCGGCGCTCGAGGTTCTCGGGGTGGTTCCGCGTCCGCTGCTGGTGGTGGCGCTGCTCGAGCGAGCGGACGTAGTTGTCGAAGCAGGCGAGGTGCATCATGTGGCCGCAGGACGAGGCGCACATGCCGGAACGAGTCGATTGAGGGAAGCCGTGAGCGAGGCCGTCCTCGCCGACGATGCTGCGGTCGATGAAGCCGTCCTTACGTCCCGCGACGCCATATGGGCGATCAGACAGCGCCCGATCGAGGCTTGTCGGCACGCTCAGCAACTCATGCTGGTACGCCGCTTCGTTCTGTTCGCCGGCGGGGTAGAGGCGGATGAGGTTGCTGCCCTGGACGAAGGCGAGCATGCCGAACGCGGCCGAGTCCTCGAGCTGGTCCTGGCAGACGATGCAGCTGCCGAAGTCGACCTTGGGCGCCGCCACCTCCGCTGGAGAATCGTCGGCCATCGCGAACTCGTCGTCCTCGTCTTCCTCGTCGTCGACATTCTGCAGGAAAGCCGACTGCGCCTGCTGAAATTGCTTCATGATGGCGGCCTGGCGGGCCTTTGCGGCAGCTTTTTTCGCCTCCGCTGCTTGAGCTTCTGACGACGGTCCGCTTTGGTCGGTGACCATCTCGGGCTGCCTGCGCATGGACGAGACAAGGGCGCCGTGGTGCTCCACGAGGCGATTGAGTAGCCACCTGGCCTTCGGCCACACCGCGGCGAGTCGGTCGTCCTCCTCCACTCGGACGAGGGCGTGAGCAAGCGAGTCCTCGATACGGTCGTCAACAGAAACCGGAAGCAGCTGAACGGCGAAGGCGGCGAAAGCGTCTGGGTACTCGACGCTTGCAAGCATGGCGAGCTGCAGGGCCTGGTCGACGACTGATTCGGAGAAGTATGGGGACGGGGGCGACTCGGGCGCGTCGGCGAGCTCGGCAGGAGGCAACAGGGGTTGTAGGGCTTGACCGGTGCGGATGGCGTGGTAGACGAGGACCAGCAGCGCGTCGCTGCCAAGGATCCGCGGTATGTCGACGAAGGGACCCGACGCATCCGACGAGACAGCCAGTCTGCGAGGGACGACGACCGGGTCGGCATCGCTCGTCGCCATCTTGCCCTTCTTGCGCAAAGCCGCCTTGAGAATCTTCTCAGCCTCCTCGCGCTGGTTCTTCGTGTATCGCGCGAACCACGGATCCACCTCGTCCAGCAGCTCCTCGCGCAGGCTGTACAAGCCCTGGTCGTTCGTCCCGCTGGGCGGCTTGAACGTCCCGATCTCGCTGAGGATGCGGTCAATCTTCGGGTCGTCCGAGAACCGCTCCGAGATGCGTCGGATGAGGTCGGAGTAGGTCGTCGGGCCGAAGGCGAGGTAGTGGAGGAGCTCGCGACGCAGTGCAGCGGCGTCGGTGAGTGGAGCGACGTAAGTCGGGTCGGTGACAAGCGTGATGACAAGGTTGAGCATCTCGTCGAGCAGGTTGAGGGCCTGCTCGGGCTCGAAGACGGCGTTCGGGGGCACGCGCTTCTCGACGAGCCACTCGCGCAGCTCGAAACGGTCGATGAGCGGGGCGATAAACTCGGACGGTTCGAGCACGACGAGCGCGGTCTGAAGGAAGAAGACGTCCTGCTCGTAGGTCGTCTCGCGGAGGGAGTAGTCGCGGTAGTGAAGGTTCTGGGCGCGAATGCCGAAGCCGTTGCGAACCCAGATGCCGGCGCGGATTTGGGCGACCAGGACGACGGCTGTAGAAGGGACTGATCAGCAAGGTCGATAATGAGAAGAGGTGAACTGGCGCACTCGAAAGCGGGACGTCCAAGATGCAGAGGAATGCCTGCAGCGGACTCAGCTCCGGCCGAACCTCGAGGAGGCCGAAGATCCAGTCCCTGACGCTGTTCCTCCCGACAGACGACGCCCACTCGCGCATACTCGGCCACGCTGTCAGACCCTTGAACACCTCGGCGAGCATCCAGTGGAGCGGGTGGTGGAACGAGACGGGTCGCGTCGAGATGCGGTTCTCGAGCGAGAGGCCGACGCTGGACTCGCCTGCAGAAGCGGGGAGGAGGGAGATGCGGCGCCAGATGCCTCGCTCGGCGGCAGTGTCCCAGAACGGGTGGAGGAGAAGGTGGGCGAGGACGCCTTGCAGGGCGCGTTGTAACTCGTAGCCGGGCGACTGGTCCGAGACGCCCTTGACGATCCACGTACGCTTCGCTTCGCCGAATGTGCGGGCGAGGCGTGCGAGCTGGATGGTCAAGTTGAAGGCGGTGATCCACTGGTCGTTTTCGTACTCGACGTGCGTGCCAACCGCCCTCGTCTGCGCGTTCATATTGTGGAAGAGCCCGAACAGCTCGATGACCTGCGCATGAAGCGCCGTCCACTTGAAGAGGGCTTCCTGAGCGAGAGGCGACGAGATGAGGTGCTGGAGGTCGTTGAAGAGCTGGAAGTAGCGCTTCTGCTTCGAGAGGAGCGGCGAGTCGAGGTTGACTTCGGTGCCGAACGACGGCTCGGGCGGGAGGACGAGGTGCTTCTTGTCGTCCGTGAGCTGGCCGGTGAAAAAGCTGACGAGGACCTCGAGGATCGTCTCGAAGAAGTCCTCTTTGTCGATGAGGTGAGCCGAGACGGACGGGACGGTGAAGACCTGGACGCCGAAGAAGATGAAAGAGTTCTCGGGCTCGCGGTCGGACAGAAGGTAGGATTCGGCGAGACTCGAGTAGATCTCGGCGTACTGTTTGCCTGCGAGTAGTCGCTCGTTAGCGCGGATGCATCTCGGGCCAACGCAGGTACGTACTAAGCTTGAGCCGGACCTCCGCAGAAACGCCCAACAAACCGATCGCGCCCTCCTGGAAGCCCTTGCGCGGCTCCTTCCACAGGCGCTCCTCGAGTTCCGCCCAACTCTGGAACCTGCTCTTCCCGTCGCCACCCTTCTTCCTGTCGAGCCAAACACCGGCGACCAGCTCCTTCATCCTTCTCGGTCCATCCGCTCCTCGTCCGACTCTGCAGTGCAGCAAGTCGGAAAGCGAGAGAAGGACAATCTCGACCGCGACCTGTTCTCGCCAGGTCTCGATGGCGCTCCGCACGGTCACGCCCAACTCGATGACGCCGATACGCTTGGCGACTCGAACGCACTCCTCGGCGCTCTGGCTGATGAGGACGACGTCGCGGCCTTTCGAGTCGACGCGCTGGGCGACTCCGCTTGCGGCGGCGCGGGAGCAGCCAGTCGCGCGAGAGACTTGGTCGATCACTTCGGCGAAGGAATGGCGCTCGTCGTTCCAAAGGACGACGGCGAAGGGCGGCTCGTGGAGGGGCGCAGGGCGCCGAGTGGGAGCGGGAGCGGTGTCGGCAGGAGAAGAGAACGGATGCAGGTTGTACGTCTCCACAGCAGGCACCGCGATGCCTCGCCGGTACTGCTCAAGTGCCTGTTCGACGTCGGGAGGCAGTTGGAACGCTCCCTCGGCATTCTCGGCGTCGAGGAGGTCCTGCTCGTCCGTCTCGATGTCCTCCTCGCCTCCATCGTCGACCTGCCGCAGCAAGACTGCGAGACCATGAGCCGCATCGGCGCGTTGGCGAATGAAGGCGGCGAGACTGGCGGCCGTTGGCGGTCGAGGGGTCGCGTTGGTGTCCTCGTCATCGCCGACTGCGGGAGGAGCGGGAGGAGCGGCACCCGTAACTTCTTCAGCTCGTCGCGGCGGAGTGAAGGATGTCGGCGAGCGGGAGAGGACGTCGAGAGCCCAGTCGAGCGAGACTTCGAGCGTCTCGCGGACGCGCGAGAGGGCCGCCTGAACCAGCTGTTCGTCATCCGGCTCGAGGTCCTGTTCCTCGTCCATCTCGTCTGGACCCGCATCGACGCCGTGGTACTTGCAATCCGTGTGGCAGCCCTCCTTCCATGCCTCGACGTCGCCGCAGTCGCAGCATCCCGCACCGACTCCCGAATGGACGCTGACCGTGACATCGTGACCGGCCTTCGCATGGCCCGACCCGTGGAAGCAGCGGGCGCAAAGAACGCACGTCGCATCGATGCCGCAGTCGCGACAGCGGTAGACGGACTCGCCGGACTTGAAGACGTGGCCGCACGGTTGACCGCGAGTCGAGGCGCTGGCGATGCCTGTCAACAACGAGGCGAAGGCTTGCGCCTGGGCGGACCGGAGAGTCCATCCGTCTTCAATGTCCTGAGAGGCGCTGGATGCATCGCTTCCTGCCGGAGAATCCGTTGCGGGACCTTTGCCCTTGGCGTTGGAAGTCGGAAGGAAGAGGTTCTTGACGGGCGAGTCAGGATTGAGCGCCCAGTTGTAAAGGGCACTCTTGACCCTGACACGTGCCGTCGGCGATGCAAGCGAGTAGTTTGCGGGCTTGGCGAGCGAGTCGAGGAAGGAGGGGAGGGACGAGGGCGAGAGTGAGAGGGCGACATCTCTGTCAGGGTAGGCGGGGCCCTGAGGCTGATGCTGAGCGTGTTGTAGCTGGAACGGCAGCATGCTTGCCATCCTAGCCACTCGTGGTCGTGCTGCAAGGTCGAATGCTGTCATGAGGAGATGAAGTCTGTCAGCCGCGAAGACCGCTCGAGGCGGCTGAACGAGGCTCACGTGCGACGATGGAGCACTCTGCAATCACTCCGAAGCAGCGAATTGCGCAGAGGTACGAGAGCAGGTCAAGGGTGTGGGCCAACCGTCTCTCTCCCCTCGACCGCTCACTTGTGCTGCTTCATCCCGCACGAAAGGCTGTGCTGCTGTGCTTTTGCCGTCCTCTAAACCCTGTACGCCTACTGCTGGCGTCCCCCTCACCTGCGCGTCCCGTTCTCGCTCAAAACCCCGCCTGCTTTTCGGCGTCACTCTGCTGGACTTGCGAGGCTACCGAGCGAGTCGAGTCTTCCTGCGTTCCTTCTTGAGCTTTCCCGAACTACCCAGCGCCCACTTCTGTGCTCCCGTGCTCGCAGGAGAGGACAGGATGGATACGTCTGAGGGCGTGCCGAACGCATTGACGGAGATCGTGCGTACTGCTTCTCATCCACCGGCTTGTGGGCATGATGGCTGACGCGCTCCCTGACTGGCAGGAGTCGCAAGAACTGGAGGAGCAGAACCCGACTTTTCGCAGCGTGACGGAGGGCATCGCAGAAGTCGCCAGACGCCTCGAAGACAACGCTAAGCGCCTCAAAGACCACGCCGAGCAACTCGACCAGCTCAAGGAAAGCATCGCCCGGCAGGAAGCGCAGCTTGACCGGATGCAGGCAGAGAAAGACAGGACTCGATTCTTGGATGCGTGCATGATCTCCATGCTGGGTTCGTCTCGCCCTCTTACCGTCCCATAACGCTGCTGACCTGCTTGTGCCATGCAGGCGTGCTGCTCGAACAGGCACTTAAGTATACGGGCAAAAAAGTCTTCGACATGCCGGCTAGTGAGGTCAAAAGTCTACTGTTCGATGACTTATACCATTCCGCTCAGCGTGAGTCAACGAAAGGCACGCGGGCGCAAGTGCTTACATATGCCGTCTACTGTTTGCAGTCTGTCCCTCGTGGAGGAGATTACCGGACTACTTGCGCTATCCGTGGAAGCAGGCCAAACTCGCGCACTTTCCTCCGGCCTTCTTCCAGGCGCTCAGGGACGACGACATCGAGTTCCGACCGGCGTACCGCATTGTTGAGGGCGCCAAAGCGGTCAAGCACTTGCGCACCAAAGAGGCGCACGGCAGATCATTCAGGACAACCTGCCTTGAAGTCCTGGTCAATGTCGGCAAGGTCGGCACGAGGCGCGCCAACGGCATCCTTGCCAATGTTCCCATCGGTGCGTACCCCCAATTATGAATTGCTGGTCTGCGCTTATCTGCTGAGCTCGCAGACTACTTACACGACTAGGGAGGAGGGAGATTGCACACGAACAAGACTGTCGCCGTGCTCCGCAAGCGGCTGGGCAATCTCCTCTCTCGCGCCCAGGCCTTTACTTTGTTGTCGTCAAAACACCCCGTCGTGCATTGCATCTCGATTCTTTTCGCCGCCATCGAGCGCGTCTTCGACGCTTCAGCGCTTCACCGCTTCCTCCCTCTCTTCCCTTCAGTTCCTCTTCTGCCAGAGCTCCGGCTATTCGTATTGATTTCAAGCCGTCCCCGCCATTGGAGACAGTTCCAGCGGAGGTTGTCGACCCGTTCATCATCCCTCGACGCAGGCTTCCCTTCGACGCTTCGTCTCGCTCGCCTGAACAGCTTCCTTGCTCTGCTACAGACCGCCAGCTTCCACACAAGATGCCTCGTGTCGCACTCGTCCAGTTTGCGCCGCTCTCGCCGTCGTCTTCGGACCTCCCCACCTCTGCCTCGCAGAAGAACTCCGACGACGACGACAACCCTGCGACTCTCTCGTCGCAGTACAACTTGCAGCGTGCGCACGACTACGTCAGGCAGGCGGCGAGGCAGGGCGCGGAGCTCGTCGTGCGTTCGCTTCCTTCCCCTCCGTTGAGAAGTCCGGGACGGGCGGCAGAAGGCGGTAAGAGGCAAGGGAGGCAGAAGGGGCACGACCGCTTCGTGCGACGGAGCAGTAGCTGGTACAGAAGCAGAGAACGTGGACGCTGACTCGCTTTTCGTCGTTGCTGCCCGCAGTGCTTCCCCGAGTACTTTGTGCGCCCTTCCTTCGCGGCTTCTTTTTTGCAAGAACTTGGAAAGCTGACATCGCTATGCCCCCGCGCAGCTTTCTGGCGTCGTCTCGTCACCCTCGCACTGGCACCTTGCCCAAGTCCCGCACCACCAGCACCCTCCGCTGTCCTCCGTTCCCTCCTCGACCTCGCACACCGAAGCCGAACACTGGCTCCAATCCTTCCGCACCCTTGCGCGCGAACTCAAGGTCGACATCGCCGTCGGCACGATTGTCGAGCGCGCGGTTGACGAGAAGACGGGAGAGGAGCTGAGCAAGGAGGTCGAGGTTGAGGATGACGAGACGGGCGAGAAGAAGAAGGAGAGGCGGCCGATCCTCGAGAACGTCGCGTACTACGTCGACTGGAATGGAGAGGTCCTCGGGCGGTACACAAAACGGAACCTTTGGTGGTGCGTCCTTTCGTTTCGCTCAGCCTCGTCTGCTGCATCTCAAGCTGTACTTGAGGCTGTACGCCCGATGACGAGCGTATGCGCCGTCCGTCTCGTATCGCCTTTACTGACTCTTGCACCTCCACAGGCCCGAGAAGGAGTACCTCTGCGAAGGATCGGAGGACCACCAGATCTTCGACACGCGCTTTGGCAAAGTCGGCATGCTCATCTGTGCGCAATTTCCTCTTGTACATTCGTGCCGGCTTGCTGAACCGCTCCGCTCGCAGGCTGGGACCTCGCCTGGCCCTCCGCCTTCCGCCGTCTCCTCCTCCTCGGCGCCGAGATGATCATCGCCCCGACGTACTGGACCGCGACCGATGCCGGCGAAGTTGGCCTGCGCCACAACCCGCACAGCGAGAGGGAGTACCTCGAGTGCTTGGTCAAGACGCGCGCGTGGGAGAACGAGTGCGCCTTGCTGGTGCATTACGGGTGTTCCTCCGCTCTCCTAGCCGGCGTTGACCTTCGCTTTCCGCTTTGCGCAGTTCACGAACGTCGCTGCGCCCGCGTCATGGTCTCCCGGCGATCCCATCGGAAACGAAGAAGGCCGGATCGGGTGTTCGCAGGTTTGCCTGCCGTTCAAGGGCGCCATCGCTCACGCCGTGCGTTGCGCTCTCCCTTCCCAACGCATCTCTTCTCGCTGACTTGCCACGCTTTTGCAGAAGGGACCACAGGAGGAGGTCGTCTTCGCTGACTTTGACCTCTCGATTCTCGAGGTGCGTCTCGCTCGCTTCGCTTTTGGCTCTCCGCTTGCGCTGACTCTCGTATTCTGGACGCAGGACGCTCGTCAAGTGTACGGTGTCAGGCGTGATTTGATTACGAAGCTGAAGGAGAAGGGAGAGTTGCCGGACTGGGTTATCGAGTAAGGACTCAGGCGACCGCAACGAAGGCCCTCGGCGCTGCTGAAGTAGTGGGGAGGCGAAAAATGCAGGGAGAGCGTGACAAGGAAGGGGAGTTGGGTCCACAAGTGCTCATTCGACGACAAAGTTGAGATGCGGGAAAGCTTGATCCGACGGCTTGCGGCCCTCTGCAACGCAGATCTTGTCGAGGCGCATGCGCAGGCCTTCAGTAATCAGTATGTGATGTTGGGCTCCATGGAAGTTGTCCAGGGAGTTGAGCGTGTCGAGCGCTCTGAGAGTCTCGAGGACGCGCGTGCGACGAAGGTCGAGGAGGCGGACCGTCGCTGGAAGCCACTTGACAACCTTCCAAAACGTGTTCGACCAAGTCTCTTCAGAAGAACCGCTGAACGAGACCGTCTTGACGTTGGGAAGTTTGCGGAAAAGCTCTTGCTCGTGGGTCCAGGGAGGGCCTCCCGGCTCCGACTTGCGTGCCCTCGGGATGGCTTCTGCAACGTCGAAATGTGCGTGTTCAACGCTCTGCTGGAAAGCCTCGCTCCTTTCCAGCGCCTCCCACAGTCTCCAGTTGCTGCGATTCGAGCCAGTGAAGCTGAAGGCGCCGGGTACGAACTGGATCTTGCGGTAGAGCGTCCTCTGCGCAGTCGAGGTGCACGCTTTTCCAAGGCGACAGAGAGCGGCGAGCGTCGCTTCGCGGCCGTGGTTGAAGTTGTCGCAGAACTCGATGATGAGGCAGACGAGGTCGCGCGGGAGCCGAGGCGAGATTCGTGTTGCGTTGCCGGTCCCGGAGGTCCGCGAGAGGCGTCTTCGGGGAGTTCTGAGAGGGCGCAGACTCCATCGGTAGCGCAGCAAGCGAAGAGTTGGGGACAGAGAGCGAAGCGGACAAGGAAGGGGATCAGCATGGTCGCTATGATGCGGCCGCACCCGCTCGGACGGCCAGGGAACGTGGCAACTCACAGACTAGAGGGGCTGTAGATGCTGCCCTGCTCGTATACTCTGGCAACGCCCGACAAAGGCCCCACGCACCTTGACCTTCGCAAACGCTCTGCGCGACTTCTCCCTCACCCATCCTCGCAAGGCTGTCTAGCCTGGCCGCTCTTCAGCGAGCATGCTTTCCTTGTCCAGATGCGTGAGCGGCAAGACAGCAAGGAAAGGCGGATGGAGATGAAGGACGCATTAAAAGCGGGAGGCGTCTGACGCCTGTACGCAAGTCCGGAGGCCTTTGACAGAACAAAAGCTCCCAAGTGCACTGCTTAAACAGAGGAGAGAAGAGGACAAGGGGAGGAGATCAGCATGCGGCAGGAAGCGTTCTGGCGGGAAGTGCGAAGCGGAAGGCCTTGAAGCCGAACTGCTCAGGCTGAGAAGTGTTGATTGCCTACTCCTTCGTCTCAGCATTGGCACCCAACTCTGACTCCTGCTTGTGTAGGCAACGCCTGTAAGTTAGCGGAAGAAGTGTCAAACTCAGCAGGGCATGAGGAGACCAACCAGCGCCTGGATCGTCGGATTGTTCGTAGTGAGCCTGTACACGTCCTGCAGCGCATCAAGCATCAGCAGCTCTGGGAAAGCCAGGAAAGAAGGGGAACAAGGAGGTGAGGACAAGGAAAGGGTGAGCGTATGATCGTAGCAACTGAACTCCCAGACGCGGTCAGGAAAGAGACGCCGCGGAGAACAAGCGAACCAACAATTGAGCAAGACCGAGTGCGGCAATAAGACGCAGGCTTGTGAGTGGGTAGGAAGCGAACTGACATTATGCAAGGCAAAGCAAGGACGGTATAATCGAGGTGCGGGTATGCGGGTTGGATGCGGAGGGCGAGACGAGGTGCGAGGCGGTACAGGTGTTCTGCGCGAGCGACCATGGTCAGCAAAAGAACAGGCAAGCATATACACGAACGGGACGGAAAGCAAACGTACTAGACTTGGTTTTGCGGGAATTCGCTTGCTGCGAGACGAAAGTGACGGGTCGGACGTCAGCATAGCGCGCTTGCGGAGATCTCCACCGTTGAAGCACAGTAAAATCAAACTCACCGCCAACGCCCGTGACCATTCCGCTCAACCTCCCGTCCAGACGGCCGACCTGGAAGCTCAGCTTGTTGAGCAGCTTTTTGGTGTCGCGCAAGTCGGAGCGGACTTCGTGCATCGCGCCGGACAAGCCCTTGACCGCTTGCTGAGTTTCGGCCAAGTCGACCGACATCGGGGTGAGCTGCCCGCTGATCCTGGATTCGACTGGAGGGCGACGGCATGGTCAGCAGCGGCGCAACACGCCTGTAGACGAGAACGTGCGATAGAACACGAAGCCAATGAGGACCACCGTCCCAAGACCCTTCGTCAACAAGCTGTCTGGCCCAAGTGCGTGCGAGCCGTTCTCGCCGCCGCCGAGCTTGCTGCCCTTCGCGAAACTGCTGACGGTGTCATCACCAAGACGCTTGTGACTGGTGGTGAATGGCCGGGCGGGGTGCGGCGCGAGGAGGTTTTGGGAGGGAGCGCGGTGGGGAAGGCGAGGGAGGGCAAGAGCGCGGGAGAAGAGGGGCATGGTGTGCAGCGGGGTTGTGCGGGAGATGAGCGACGAGCAGACGCAAGCCAGCACACCTTGCAGTCGTGCCCAACCGACCCTGCTGAGTCTTGCTCGTGAAAGACGTAGTCCTCAGCTACCGCCATCTCGCTTCTCGAGTGCGCAGAACGCTTCTGGAATGTACAGCATATCCGTTACGTCTCGACGAGAGCAACCCGCCCTCCGCCGCGCCGTTTTCTCCGACCGCAACCTCCCAATCCCAGTTCTCGCCGCCTCCACACCTCTCGCCGTCCGCTCCTTCCGTCCCTTGACGACGCCAATAGGTCCTGAATCGACGAGGGTAAAGGCGCGGCGGGTTGGGCGGGTGCAGGTCGGCGGGAGCTTGTCGTCTGCGACTCTGCGTAGGGCAGAAAGCCAGCATCAGCTCGAGACCAGGTTAATCTGCTGCCCAGGCAACATGAGGGGGGAAGAGAAGAAGCGTACCGAGGTCTAGCGGTATTCGGCAAAGACGAAATCCCGGAAGCGAAGGATTGATGCGCGTCGAGACGAGAACGCGGAAACGAAGAGATCGGCTTGGCGTGGCGGATGCTGCTGTGGGAACGCCCGACTGTTGCCGACATGAGAAAAGTCAGACTTAGTCAGAGGCCATGTAAAGACAGAATGAGGATAAGGAGGGAATGCGAACTCACCTCGTTCGCACCGCTCCTCGAAAAGGCAGCCGCGCAGCGCATCATGCCGGCGCCTCCACCACGTCCGACTACCGCACCGCCAACGGCTGCTGTGTCAAGAATGTCTGCGCCTCGATCTCGGCGATTCCGCCCCAACACGCCGCAACAACCTTCGCAAACGCCAGCAGCGTCGTCTCGTCGCTCGCCTTGAGCGTCTGGCCAAACTCGCTCTCCGACATGGCGAGCAGCGCATGGAACGCCTTCCCGTCGAAGAGCTCGTGCGGCGCGCAGGGCGAGTCGTGGACGCCGTCTGGATGGAGAAGGAGGACTTGGAAGAGGATGTTGACGGTGACGAGGGTCGAAATCAGCTCGACGGAGCGCTGGATGAACGGTTTGAGCGGAGGACGAGGGGCGAGAGGGGCGAGAGCAGCGAGTCGAGAGGGTTCGTGGCGGATCAGGGCGGCGACGAGGACAGCGCAGTTGACCTCGTGCTTCGTGAAGGGTCGTCGGTGCAAGCGAAGGATCCAGTTGATCGAGACGATGAGCATGGTGTAACGGCCGATCATTGCGCAGCCGTCAAAGCTGGAGATGTTTCCCTTCGGATAGCGGAGCGCGGCGTAGGCGATCGTCTTGCGAATGAGCTTGTCCTGCTCGACAAGCGGTTGCCGCGTGAGGATGTCGGGAAGCGCGTCCCATTCCGACGCAGCAGCAAGGTCGCGCAGGCTGGGGACGGCAACCTCGGTTGGGTAAAGCTCGAACCCGCTCCGCGCGTACTCGACGACGGTCGGCCGCTCGACTCCGACCATCTCATGCACAATCGCGTAGATCCACAGCCGGATAGGGCGAGCGAGCGAGACCATCGGCGACTGATGCTCGGGCATCTCGACCATGCCCTGGAGCATGACGACGCCGTGCTTGAGGACGTGAAGGACGAAGGACGAGAGGCGAGACGACTTGTAGGCGGCGTCATAGATCGCTCGCGCTTTGGCTTGTTCGAGGGTGTCGGTCGGGCGAGGATGGAGAGGGTAGGTAGGCGAGGGCGCTTCAAGCGGGCGGAGGGCGTACGAGTAGGCCGATGCGGCGATGTTGGCAATAATGTTCGGGTCGTGGACAGGTCGTTGAAGGAGGCGAGGGAGGACGGCGAGGACGACATCCTGAATCTGCGCGAGCGTCTCGACAGGCATCCCAGCGCACATCGAGAGGATGCCGGCTATCCGCAGCAACTCGCGCGGGTCGATGTAGCCGGTGTAGTCGGCGAACTTACGGTTCTGCGAGAAGGAGGCGGCGTAGTTGTGCATGTCGTTGCCGATCAGGGCGGCGAGGATGGGAAGGAAGGCGGGCGGGACAGAGAAGGAGCGGGCGATGAGGGCGGGTTGGAAGACGCGGAATCGAATGCGAGGTGGCGTACTCGGCGGTACTTTTTCGAGTCGAGGGTCGTTGAATGGGCCGTACTCGACCGAATTGAGCGGGACGTAGCCCCGACATTGCGTCGGGTAGATAAAGTAGTCCGAGTCTGCGCGGCCCGTGTCACAAGCGTCAGGACTACCCGTTACTGAGTTCCGAATGTGCGACGCACCGTTTGACAGCACAAACCCGTTCTTGCGGTTCGCAAGCTCCGCAGTCGGCGAATCCGCCTCCTCCTCCGCACAATAGCTCGGGACGCCCAGCGCTTCCAGCTCCGCTGAGATCGCCATATGTGTGAGGGGTGGTAGCCGAGTAGCTTTCTGCGCGTAGGCGTAGTCGGCGCGGAGGTAGTCGGGTAGGCTCATCCACTTCAGCGAGCGCTGAAGGGACTGCGTCGAGCGGTGTATGACGGTCGGGAGTTTGGACGTGTCGAAGGGGCTGTCAGATGTCGGAACTGTTAGCGAGGCGAGGTGAACGGACGAGAAGAAAGCGCGACGCACCCGTCCCAAACGAACTCCGGCTCGAGTCCGCACACCCGCCAGTACTCGACGTATCTCCGCACGTTCGCCTTGATCCTCAGATTCCCTCCTCCCTCGAACGTGTCGACTAGACCGACATGGTACGCGAAAGCGAGTCCGTCGACGATCAGAGGGATGGGCGAGGTGTCCTGAGGGTTCGGGTGCGTCTCGTAGACACCGAGGTTCTGCTTTCGCACGTACGTCGTGAGACTCTGGACGCCCATACCCCCTCGATACTCCGGAAGGCTTGTCTAGGCCGATCTGCGGCGGTGGTGGCGAGCGAGACTTGGTCGGATCGAGGGAGAGGAGCAAGGCGAGTAGGAGGGCGCAGAGCGGAGCGACAGCCACACAGCCTTCAGCAGCCTTTCTAGGATACAGTCAACGCCAAGCGAGCTCGGTCTGAGCAGTATGAGCCGAGCAGTGAAGCGTACAAGGTTAGGGGAAACTGGTTCGCAAGGTTGGCTTCGTTTGCAACCATCGCTCGCCTATGCCGCTGATCTGACGCTTACGAGTGATCCACAGGGTTCATTCTGAGTCTGTACTGCCGCCCGCCTGGTACGCAGAGCCTTTCGCTCGCTTCTGCAGACTTCATCGCTTCGCGGGTGTGGGGAGGGTCAAAGTGGAGGAGGGAATTGGTTAGGCGCGATGCGACTTGTGCAGTGGCTTATTGGCAGGCCAGAACGGCGATGCGGGCGGCGGATCGCGGCGGGCGTACAGGAGGGACGCTGCGATGTTCGTTCTCCTCGAGGAGGTGGACTGGAGCGGGTGAAGCTGCTGCTGGTCTCAACACGGTACATTGGCGACGTTGCAGCCGCTTGAACGGGAGGCGTCGCTCTACAAGCTGCTTCGGCGCGCACGGTCTCGCCTTCCGCTTACCTGCACCCGCAAACACTTCGAGCACGTCGCGAGACTCTTCAAACTGACCGCCAATTTCCTCCTCCCGCAGATCTACCCGATAATGGCCATCACCGCAACCTCCTCGACCCCTCCTCTCTCCCCCGCCGAAGTCGCCCAAATACCCTCTCCCTCCCTCCCAATCGGACCGCAGATCTCGCACCTCCTCTCCGAGTTCACCACCCTCTCTATCCAGCTCTTCACGATCCTCTCGACGACTTCGCCGTCCGCTAGCGCGGGCTCTAAAGCCTCCACCGCGGAGATCTACGAGTCGCTCGGAGCGTTGGACGCGAAGCTCGCTCGCTTGCTCGTCATGTCTGCCGAGCACCAGCGACGACAACAGCGCGTCGAAGCGCTCATCTCAACGCTGCGCACACTCGATTCGACCTGGCACGAGTCCGCCTCAACCCTCCATTCCTGCGTCTCCTCGCTCGACCCAATCGTCGCATCCGGCGCGCTCGACCGCACCGCCATCTCCACCGCCCAATCCGCGTCCCTCACGCCCTCCCAGATTCTCTCTTACGCCCGCCTCCTCGCACCCTTCACCTCCGCTCCACCTTCCTCGCTCTTCCCGCCTGAAATCAAGCTCAAAGGAGTAGGCGCGACAGACCCTACGGGACGGAGTTTGCCAATGGGCGCGATTCCGCCGTTCCCGACTGAGGCGGCGATGAGGAGGGGACGGTTGCAATTCGGAAGGGAGGGCCTGATGCAGGGGTTGGGAGCGACGGAGGAGGTGGGAGGTGAGTCGGCTGATGTGCTCGCTTCGATGACGCACGTTCTGATTCCTGCTTCCGGCCGCAGCTCGAAGAGACGGGCCAGCAGCACCCGCCGAACCCGCGATACCGAAAGCAGACGCCGCGGCGCGCCTCGAGCAAGAGGCGAAGGCGCACCAGGTCACGGCGGCGGGAGGAGCGGGCGCCGCTCCGCCCCATCCAGGCTCGGGAGACGGGATGGACGTTGAAGAGTTTGAGTTTGACTTGGACCTCAATCCGGACTTGTAGGCGTGTGAAGTCGAAGGTAGAGGTGGAATGTCGAGTCTATCCCGACGCCTCTCGCTCGCTTCGCTTTCCTTGGCTTCAGTCGCGCGCTATACGGATCAAGAGACTCTGAGCTTGCTTTGGGACCCCTTCGTAGCCTCGTTGAGTGTTGTCAAGTGGACTCGTCCTTCGCTCTCTCGCACCTTCGCTCCTCGACCGCCACCACATCGCAAGAATGGTGCGTACAGCGCCCGGGAAGCTTGCGGACACTCACTGACGGCTTGCCCGACCAGTCTGGCGCACGGCTGATTGGCCAGGTCCTCCTCATCGGGTCCTCCATCGTCGGCAAGGCCTTCTCCGAGGCATGGAAGCAGGCGGCGAGGAGTGAGTCGCCTCTCCTCGCGCTCTGGCGGGGCGGCAGGGTACGAGCGACGGACACAGGTACTTTTCCAGGCTGACTGTGGTCCTCGTTGTCCCGCAGACGCACGAGCAGGCGGCGAGGCAGCGACAGGTGCAGCAGGCGGAGCAGCGAGGGGTGGCAACGTCGACGCCTTGACGCGCAACCACGGCATGACCTTCGACGAGGCGGCCAACATCCTCAACGTCAAGCGCGGCGCGATCCAGGCTGGTGAAGAGACAGAGTTGCAGAGGATGCTCAAGGTGAGTGAGGGCGATGAGCGCTTTCTCGCGGGCTGGCGGGCTGTTCGTTGGTTGGAGGAGCGTTGTGCGGCTTGCACAGTGCTCTAAAGCCTAGATATAGCGGCCGAATCCGCGCAGCGATGCTGACCCCTGCTCCCCTCGCTTTCGCAGAACTTCGACCACCTCTTCCAAGCCAACTCGCCCCTGACAGCCGAAGGCAAGCCTCACTCGTCGCACTACCTCCAGTCCAAGATCGTGCGGGCAAAGGAGCGGTTAGAGGCAGAGTTGGCGGCGGCGGCGAAGGGTGCGGGAGAGGCGGCAGCGGCGGAGACGCCCAAGACTCCTGGGGGAAGTGCGTGAGCGTAGCGGGCGCTCAGGAGTGGGAGAAGAATGGCGTGACGCAGGTGGATAGATTGGCGGAAGTGATGGCCTCGCGGGACTGTGTTCTGTACTGTAGCGATACCCCTTCTCCCCCTCGTTTTTCTCGTTCTCGAGACCAGCCTTTATTCCTCTCAGCAGGCTCATCAACATGCAACATCTCTCCTCACCATACTCCCGGATCCAAATCGTTCCATCTTCCGACGCAAGTCTATCGAATCGGCAAATGCCCCAATCTCCAAACCTCTCCCCTGCCGAGCATCTCGCCCTCTCCTTCTCCCGCCGCCGCCACAGCCGTATACAACCCGACGGCCTCCCCTCGGACGGCTTTGCGGGGCTTCGAGCCGCTCGAGCTGGAGTAGAGCGAGTGGAGGGAGAGTTCGCGCGCGTGCGAGGTGTGGTGTGCGAGGGCGGAGGACAGGAGGGCGCGGAAAGAAGGGGAGGGCTGCGTGGACGGTCGGAGCGTCAGTGAGGAAGGACATGCGGAAGAGACGGAGCGCCACGCACGTTCTTTGGCGCTGCGGACCCCAGCGCAATCACGACGATGTTCTTGTACTCCCTCTTGTACTTGCCCGCTCCAACAACCTGCTGCAAGTCCTTCTCCTTCTCATGCAAGTAATCATGGATCGCTCTGCCAGCATCCCACCACTTCTCCGCTCCCCACCTCGCTTCCTTCTCCAGCATCACGGGCAAGAGAACCTGTACGAGTTCGACCTCGGGATCGAGGTGCATTGCTGATAGGACGCGGGCGGAGCGGGGAGAGAGGGTGGGCAGGGTCGAGCCGGCTGCTGGGACGCCGAGAGGGGGCGTGTGGGCGAAGGCGCGGATAAGTTGCGAGGCGACTCGGGGGGAACCGGTAAAGGAGAGGACGGGCGAGTAGGCGGAGGAGATGGTAGACGCGGTGGAGACGAGGAGGCGCGAGGCAGAGGTGCTGTGTGCGAGGAAGCAGTCAGTTCTGCTGTCGAATCGACTTTCGCGAAGTGCACGCACTCGTGAGGCGCGAGGAGTATGATAGTCTGCGGCTGCAGCGAGTTGATCTCGGCGCCGACTGCCGCAAGCACGCCCTCATCGACCTCTTCTCCTGCGAAACGAAGCGAGTCAGCGGGCGAAGCGGAGCCTCGACAGCGGAGAGCAACGCACCATGCTCGACGAAGTAGACGGGCAGCACCTCCCTGACGAGGTTCTCCGCGCCCGCATGCTCCGCGCGACGCTCAACCTCCCTCAGCTGCCGCTTGTACTCCTTCTCGAGTTCCCTCCCTCCCTCCTTGCTCCCAAAGCGCAACTGCCTCTCCAACTCTGCCTCCCAGTCCGCCTGCTTCGAATGCTCGTGGTTGGGCGAGACAGGTACGCTCGCTTGGTACCGATGCAGCGTCTCCGCCCACAACTTGCCCGAGGGAGAGGTGAGGAGGTCGCGGTGTTCTGTCGGGAGGAAGGGGAGTCGGCCGGACAAGGCGGGGATGTAGTGTGGTAGTCGAGTGTACAGAGCGGATAGCAGACCCAGCAGCACGCCCCAGAACAGCAGGCGGACGTTGCCCATCGCTTCGGACGAAGGAGGCGGGGCAGCCAGCGGAGGACGAGGTAACGGGCGTCGGGAGAGTCGCGGGCGGTACGAGTCCGTCTTACGGTCTTGCAGACGGTCTAGCAAGATATCTCAAGCCGCTGGGCGTGTGTGCGGGATGAGGTGGAGGGAGAAGTTGAGCGAGACGATGAGAGATGTCAATACTCCGCGAGGGTATGGCTGAGGACGCTGAAACGACGACTGCAGTGCATATGATCCGTCTATATGCGAGGAAGCGAAGGGAAAACCAAAAAGACGCCGTTCCTCCGCCCGAATCCGCTCACAACTCTCCCCTCTGCCTCGCCGCGTCGTCCGCCATCTTCTTGAGCACGTCGTACTCGCCCGACTTCTGGCAGAGCGCCGAGAACATCGAATCAGCGTCGGCGAGGAGGTTCGAGGGCGTGTCGAACTCTTTGACGACGCCGTGGTCGAGGACGAGGATCTTGTTGTAGTCGATCACGGTGCGGAGGCGGTCTGCGGATGGAAGCTCATCAACGGAGCGTTCGAGAGCTAGTGGCTCGAAGCGGACGCACGAGCAATGCAGAGAATCGTCGCGTCCGCCATCTCCGACCGAATCGTCTCCTGGATCCGCTCGTCTGTCGCATGGTCGAGCGAAGCGGTGCTCTCGTCCAGGATGAGAATGGACGACGACCGCAGCTTGAGGATGCCGCGCGCGAGGGCGAGGAGCTGGCGCTGTCCAGCGGAGAAGTTCTTCCCGCCCTCCTTGACCGGCATGTCGAGGCTCTTGACGACGTAGCGCTCGTCTTCGGCCGTAGCAGTCGCTTCCGAGTGCTCGTCGTCGCTGTTGGTCGGGCTGACGGCGCGGCTCGGGCCAGGAGTTGGCTTGGGCGTGACGCCGCACGCGCCAGGCGCGGCCATCTGGACGCGGCGGAGGGCGTCCCAAATCGCCTGGTCTTCGTGCTGGCCGAACGGATCTGCAGACATACAACTTGTGAGAGAAAGAAGGGAGACAGCGGATACAAGCCAACGCACCGAGGTTGAATCGCAGACTACCGGCAAAGAGTGCCGCTTCTTGCGCGACGATCGTCAGACGGCTCCTGAGGTCCTCGAGCTTGAGCGTGTTGATGTCGATACCGTCGATGGTGATGTTGCCGCTCGACGGCTCGATAAAGCGGAAGAAGGACAGCGCGAGCGACGACTTGCCAGAACCTGTCCGACCGACGATGCCGACCTTCTCGCCGCCCTTGACCTCGAACGAGACGGCCTTGAGTACCGAAGGGAGGTTCGGCGCGTAAGAGGCGGTGAGCTTGTTGACAGAGATCGTGCCGCCGCGAGTGGGCCAAATGGCGGGAGGATGGACGCCGCCCTGCGACTCTTGCTCAAGCTCGAGGTCTACAGTATAGAAGCGTCAGTGACGGCAGAGGAAGAAGCGGAACTCGAGGCAACTCACACTCCTGAATGCGCTCGACCGAGTTAGCCTGCACCTCGATTTGGGCGTTGAGCCTCACGATCCAGAGGAGCCGTTCTTGGAACATGAGAGCGAACGACAGAACGAAACCTGCGAGCGCTGCGTCCATCGACCGCGCGAAGATGACGAAGAGCGCCGCGATCAACGCTGCGATGGCGCCAAAGACGTCGGTACGGAGGGAGAGCCATCGATTGGCGAGCCACAGGGTGAAGAACGGCCTGTTATTCTCGTCGAGGAGCTGGAAGATGTGGCGCATGAACCGGCTCGCATCACCGTAGGCTCGGATGGTCGACACGCCCTGCAAGCTTTCGCCGAAGACGGAGAAGATGGGCGAGCGGGTGACGGACTCTGCAAGATTGACCCGGTCAGTATACCCGAGCGAGTGATGAATCGGGGGAAGCGCACCGAAACGCTTGAGCTCGCGCGACGAGGCGACGTAGATGTAGCCCAGCAACCAGTACGCTGCTGAAATCGCTGCTGCCGCGAGAAGGAACGCCGGGAGGGTTGCCGAGACGGTGCCGGTAATTCCTGCGACGGCGACGAGCTCGAAGGTGTAGTACATGGCGGTCTGGCTCAGGTCCTGGTCGATCGTCTCCATGTCCTTGCTGAGGCGGTTCAAGATGCGGCCGGTCGGCGTCGAGTCGAAGAAGCGGATGGGCGCTCCGAGAATCTGGCTGATCAGGCGACGGTAAAGGATGCGACTAGCGCAGAGTCCGCGCCACAAGAAGAACGCCGCGCGCGCCGTGATGAAGGCGAGGTTGACGACGGCGAGGAGGCAGTACATGGCGAGCCAGTAGTCCGAGTCGAGCTTGCGATCCTCGCCGAGGATGGACGACGCCGAGAGATCGCCTTGCGAGACCGAGCGGGCTGCCTGAGCAAGACGGATCGGGACAGCGTGGAGGCGTCCGGTAGAAGCGGCGACTGTCGAAACGAAAACGGTGCCAAACGACTCGGCCTTCCTGTCGAACGAGTTCGCCCAGTACCGGAGCGCAAGCGAGATGGCTGGCAACAGGATGTCAGCGCGAGCATACAAATAACCGTTCAGACCACCGCACCGATGTCTGCCAGCTGAGCGCCTACGAAGATCGCAAGCGCAACGAGGGCGACGCTCCATCCGCCAAACGCCCGGATGTACGTGTAGTACACCTCCTTCTTGACTGCGCCCTCGCTCTGCGTCTCGTCCTTGACGAGTTTGAGCTTCTCCGCCCGCTTGCGCCGCTCCTCCTCCTGGTGCTGCCGGAGCGCTTCATCCGTCTCGCCATCCGCCAACGCCTCGATCGTCGAGAAGCTCGACTCGTTCGCGTCGGAGGCAAACTTGTCCTGCTTCTCGAGCTCAAGGAGGCGCGACTGCGAGAGCGTGTCGGGCGGGCCGGCAGAGACGACGGTGCTTTGGTCGAGGGTAACGACGAAGCCTGCGACCGGGAGGCAGAGGTCGACCGCGTGCGTGACGAGGACGCAGGTGCGGTGACGCATGACCTTGCCGGTCAGGCACTTTTCGACAAGGTGCTGCGCTGTATGCGAGTCGACGGCGGAGAGGACGTCGTCGAGGAGGACGTATCTGGCGGGCGAATAGATTGCGCGAGCGAGACTGATGCGCGCCTTCTGACCGCCCGAGAGCACCGTCCCCTTCTCGCCGACTTCCGTATCATCGCCGAGTTCGAGCGCTTTGAGGTCGGGCTGGAGCGCGCAGGCGTCGAGCGTCGCCTGGTAACGCTTGGCATTGAAAGGCGAGCCGAAAAGGATGTTCTCCCGGATCGTGGCCGAGAGGAGCCAAGGCTGTTGCGAAGCGTACGCGGTTGTTTCGGTGAGGATGGCTGGGTCCGAATCGGTCGACCTAATGACGGGCGAAGGAAGGAAGGCGGATCCTGAGAGGCGGTTCGTCTCGCCGAGGAGGGACTGGAGGAGGGTCGTCTTGCCGGATCCGACTGTACGACAAAGAGCGTCAAACGAGCGTTCTCAGCTGTCAGAGACGGAGCGAACGCACCTGGACCGAGGATGATACTGAGCTGTCCCTCCGGGAATCGAAGATCGAGGTCCTTCAAGCGGAAGACGCTTGTGTCCTGCCTTGCCGCATCCTCGTTCGACCAGGTGAAAGTCCCGTCGACGAAGCCAATGACCGGGTCCTCGAGTGAGGTCGCCTTCTGAAGAAGCGAGTACTTGTGCGTCTCTTCTTCTTGCATGAAGGCGTCGAGACGCTTGAGCGAGACGTAGGCTTGGAGCACGTTGACGAACACTGCGGGAAGTCCCAGGGTGTCAGGACCAAGCGCGTCAAGGGGGGTGACCCAACTGACTGTCGGTAAAGCCTTCGAGGGGAGAGCGGAGAACCTGGAGGAGGGCGAGTGCGGTGAAGGCGGTCTCGGCGGTGAGCGGGCGTTCGAGGACTGTTGCGGAGCGTCAGCTCGATGCGCTGCTTTCGAACAAGTGATAGCGGGACGTACCCTTGGTGTGGAAGACGAACGTTACGGATCCAACGATGAACGGCGCGCCGAACATCAACCCGTTCCCAGCAACCATCGTCAACGCCCTCTTCCAGATCGCGCTCAGCTCCTTCTTCCTCGTCGCGTCCATCATCTCCAGGAACTTTCGCTCCCACGCGAAGAACTTGACGACGCGGACTTGGCCGATAACTTCGGTCGTCAATTCGAGGCGCTGGTCGGCTGCCGCGAGGAGCTTCTCCTGGTAGATGTTGAACAGAGCGGAGATGCGACCTTGGATCGGGACGAGAAGGGTGAGAACGGCGATACCGACTGCTGCGCTCGTGCCGAGGAGGTCGAAGAGGAGATAGCAGATGACGATGATGGAGAGGGGCATCTCGGAGAGGAGGAAGTGCAGGTAGGCGCAGACTTCGGAGAGTCGGTACGTGTCGACGCTGATCAGGTTGATGATCTTGCCCGACGACGCTTTCTCCAGCTCCTTTCCGAGCTCCTCCTCGTCGAGGTCGTCGGCTTCGGAGCCTGACGCCGGCGTTGCCTTCGAGGTCGGCTTCGGTGCTGCGTCGGCAGTGGGTGAGACGTCGGCCTCTTCCGTGGGCTTGGCGGACGACAAGCCAGCCTGGTCTTTCCGTCGAAGCGCCTTGGTAAAGACCTCGCCGACGATGATGGACCTACGCGTGCGGAGGTCGTCAGCAACCGAAGCTCAATCTCGAGAAGTCGAGCTCAGCGCACCGAAGCCGAATGCAGATCCTTCTCCCAATGAACAATCCCTGACTCGAACAAATCCCTCCCAAGATCGTCCCGAGGAACATGCCCCAAGCATACAGTATCGGCACATGAAACGGTGCATACTCGCCCCTCTCGCGCTTGGCGATGTGCGCAAGGATCCCTCGCAACATCAGGGGTGCGATGGGGTTGAGTACGACTCGACCGAGGGACCAGATGTTTTGCGCGACGAGGGCGGGCCAGAAGTGGTAGATCAACTTCGGGGTGAGGCCGAGTCCCTCGACGCCTGCATTTGGGTCGCTGAGGATCCGTCGACGGATGAAGAGCGGAAGTCGAGCGAGACGCGTATCGAGCGTCCGCATCGACTGGCGGAACGAGAGGACTACTCGAGCGGTCTTGTCGTCTGCTCGAAGGTCGGGAATCGTATCCATCTTGATTGAGCCGGCGCCGAAGATCCGAGGGAAGGCGGAGCGAAGCTGGAAGCCTTCGAGGAAGGAGAAGGTTGCGAGGGAGAAGAGGGAGGCGTGCATCTCTGGCGAAGGGGGAAGGGACTTGTCGGTCGTGCTAAGTCGTCGCTGGGTGCGGGACGAGCGCGACGAGTAGCGCGATGGGCGTGGCGTAAAGAACTCGACGATGAAGAGGAACGACGAGGTGGCGAAGAGGACAGCCTCGATGGCGAGCGCTTCGCGGGAGACGGTGTAGGGGTAGGTCTTATTGCCGAGGAGGGCGGAGCGGAGGTCGAAGAAGCCGGTGAGACTGGCGAAGGATACATAGTACGGGATGAGGATGCGCTCGAGGAGGGTGTAGGCGGGCGAGACGTTGCGGTGAGGGAGGGACGGGTGGCTGAGGGCGAAGACGCGGTGCTGGATGGCGAGGCAGACTTTTGCGACCGAGAGTATGAAAGCCCAGGCCTGCAGGCAAAAGAGCGTAAGCGACGCGAGTTGACAGCGAAAGAAGCGGACGCACCCAAGATGCCATCTCCGTTGCAACCCATGCACGTCCACCCTCTCCGCGTTGGAAAGCCCTGATAGTCTTGAGCGTGCAGAGGGCGAGCATCGCAGCGTTCGCCACGACATTCAAGACGTCCTTTTTGCATCCCCAGACCGCCCTCGCGGCGAGCGCGAGCCCAGTCCGACCGGTCTCTTCCGCCTCAGGATCCGCCTCAACAACATCTGGCTCCGCATCGTCGCCGAGCAACTCCTTCTGCGTCGACGGGTCGTGCCAGTCTGGACTCTGCTTCTCCGCAACTTCTCGCAAAACGCGAGATTCGGCTTGTGCGATCGGGCTCGAGCCGGCTGTCCCTCGAGAGGACGCGTCGACGGTTGGTAGCTGTTCGTACCCAAAGGACGAGCGAGGGAAGGAGCGGCGGGCGAGAGAAAAAAGCCGGACGAGGAGGTACGATGCGGAGAGGGAGAGGAAGAGGAGTGGGATGACTCCGTCGAAGACTCTGCGTGCACGCGTCGGCCGTCAGTGAGTGTCCAGCGTCGCGTTGGAGTTTGTGCGACGCACCTCAGGCGGAAGCACGGGTCAAAGTCGATGCCGTCCCATACCTCGGCACCCTTTCCTCGTGCACACCACGCGTCCGAGACCTCGCCTGCCTGCGCCGCGTCAAGGATAAGCTGCATCTGTGCTGCTCTACTGGCTGGATCACTGGGCGATGTCGATAGAGTGAGTTGTCGGGGTCGCTGGTCGTGTCCTTGCGAAGTGCCGACGAGGATGCGAAACGAGCGAGCGACTGAAGCGGGCGTCCGCTGGGTCGCCTGGCACACAGCAGCGAGTCAGAGCAGCTTGCTAGCGGGCTTGGCTTGACTCCAGCGCGAGTGTGTGACTGGGACGAAGGACAATCTGCTCGAGTCTGCTGTTCCGCGCGGTGCACTTTATCGATTCCTCCTGTTGTCGCTTTACCGGCTTCCGAAGAGTGAAGAACTAACGACGGCATGCTTGTCCAGCTTGTCCTGGCCCTCCAGGCGTCGTTGGTCGTCGTGGAAGTCCTCCCACTGTCCGGCAATTCGACGAGTCGCGCTACAACGCTCGTTGCAGGACTACCGGCTGAGTAAGCGACGCAGTACTGCTGACAGGTGATTACAAGCCCTCGTAAGGCTGACTACAAGGGGATTACAACTCTGTCCCACGGGCACAGCTTGACCTTCTCATCCTCGCTCTCGAGGAAGCTCGTACAGCTCGGACGACGTACAGGCTGCCGCCACAGCCCACCATTCCACTCTCACGCGGCGTACTCCTCGTCGCAGCCCTCGCACTCGCACTCGCCGCCTTGTTCTCCTCGCCCCACTCGACCAACCTCGGCATCGCTCTCACAACTCTGTCTGCGCTTGTGAGCCAGTGCATGACTCGAAGCTGGACCAGACTTGCCGCTATCGTGCCCGCACTTGCCGTCCCATCCGCCAAGAACAGCTCGCGACCGCTCTCGACTTTTGCCGCGGTTCCCTCGCCTCTTGCTTTTCCCGCGACAATGGGATCGTTCTCTTCCGCAGCTTCGCAGGGTGCGTGTTCAAGATCCCTTGTCTATCCAGCGATACCCGGGGGATGCTACGGCTGACACGAGATTGAACAGGCCGCGACGACGGCGCCGAAATCCTCGATTCCCCTTCCGAATGGCGCGCCGCGCTCTCCGCCCTCCCCTCCCTCGCCGACCTTCACGACGTCTTGCCCACGATCTTCCTCGCACATGGCTCGCCCATGCTAATCCACCCACCTCACCTCGCCAACGCACGAAGCGGACCGCTCCTCTCGATTCAAGGACCCGAGGGACCGCTCGTGGCGTTCTTGAAGGACTTGGGACCGCTGTTGATGGAGAAGTACACGCCAAGGGCGATTGTGGTCCTTTCGGCGCATTGGGAGACGGAAGGAGGAGGGGTCGTGACGGATTACGGAGACAAGAACCCGTTGCTCTTCGACTACTACGGCTTTCCGAAGGGTGCGTTCGTCTTCACTCGTGACGGTCAACGCAGGCGCAGCTCACCACCGACGCCCTCGCCTTCTCGTCAGCGCAGAACTCTATGAAGTCACCTTCAAGTCTCGCGGGGACAAAGCGATCGCCCAGCGTGTCGTGCAAGTCTTGAAAGAAGGCGGTATCGAGTCTGCGCGGCTGACGAACAAGCTTGAGCCGAGGGGAGAGGATGGAAGGGGGTTCATGGGTCCTGGACTCGGTGCGAGTTCGCTTATTTGCTTGAGCTTGGCAGGAACTGATGGAGCGGTGCGCAGACCATGGCGTGTTCGTGCCGTTCAAGCTCATGTTCAAGGACGAAGCGCCTGTCCCTATCATCCAGGTTCGTCCGGCCTTTCCTTCTTCCCCTCGTTTGTTCTCACTAGCTCGCGCTCTCACCTCGCAGGTATCCATTCCCTCAGACTTGTCTCCTGCAACCCAGCACGCCCTCGGTGCCGCCCTCTCTCCCCTCCGCCGCGAAGGGATCCTCCTCATCGCCGGCGGCTTGACCGTTCACACTTTCCGTGACTTTGGGTCTTTCTCCCCCGCGGCTGCGGCGGAGAAGTACAGGGTCTGGGAGAAGGCGATCGTGGACGCCGTTGCGGTCAAGGATGTACGCCTCGCTTCCTTGCTCTTCCGTTCTCGCCTCGACGCCTTTTCTCCCGCCTCTTCTCCTTCCGGTCCTTCAGCTAACCCATGTCGAACCCGCAACAGCCCAAAGCCCGCCACCGCGCCCTCTTCTCCCTCGTCCACCACCCCTCCTTCCGCTCCGCCCACCCACGCGAAGAACACTTCGTCCCGCTCTACGTCGCTCAGGGGGCGGGCGAGACGGGGAATATCGAGGGCAGGGAGGGGGCGAGAGTCGTGTGTGGATTGTGGGGGAGCAAGACAGTTGTATTTGGGGTGTAGAGGGTGTTTGCGAGTTCGTGCGACAGGCAGTTCCGTCCGCGCTCGACGATGCGAGAGAGAAGCGAGCTACCCTCAGCAAATGCGAGGTGATAGAACAACTACTTCATTGCGCTGCGCAAAGATTAAAGCAATACACGAACCTCTAGGGATCCAATTTCAAGTTCTCGCCCGCACCAACTCCAATGCCTCCGTCCCTCCCGCCCTTCCACTCCCACACCTCAAATCGGTGATTCAACCCCCCATCCTCATGCACGCTGTACAAGCTGCCGCACCCGCCCGCACCCGGCGCACGCTTGATGAAGAACAAGTTCTTGATGCGCGAGTGGAGGAGGGACATGGAGCAGAGGAGGCACGGTTCGTGCGAGAGGAAGACGGTGAGGCCTGTGAGGAGGTAAGGCGGTTGGGCAGAGTCGGGGCAGAAAGCGGAGGGAGGGGGTCGGCCGCCTTGGAGGTCGAGGTAGGCGACTGCGTCGATTGCGTTCGAAGCGGCGTGCGTGAGCACGTTGCCAGTTGAGAGACGAGTGTCGTGCGCTGTGACGAGAGAGACCGGAGGGCGAAGCGAGTTGTGGAAGGGGGAGGACCACGAGTCGGTGATTCGGCAGGCAATCGGGTGCTGTCGGCTCAAGGACAGTCAGCGAACGATCAGACAGTCATGAACAGATAGTCGCACTCACCTCGCCCTGCCGCCCGGCCTCTTCCGCCCGCTCCCACACCTTCCTCGCCTGCTGCTCGACCCACTCGAGCTTCGCTTTCTCCCATCCCTTCTTCTTCCGCGTCGCCTTGGCACCCTCACGAATATGCACAATCGTGACAGGCCAGACCTTGCTCCACTCTTCCGCCTGCTGCTCCGTGTGCGCCGCCTCGGCGGGAACTTCGACAGTGTAAAGCGGCGGGACCGGGGTCGAGCCGAGAATGTCCGCGACGGGTGAGGCGGTGAGGAGGTCGACGAGGTTCGACGGGGCGCTCGTAACGGGGAAGAGGAGGATAGACTGGTAGCTATCGGGATCCGTCCGTGTGGTACGGCGCCTCTCACTCAACTGCGAACTGCGGCCGTCGCTCTCCTCGGCATTGTCGCTTGGACGGTCTTGCTCGACGGGACTGGACGAGCGGGACGACTCGATCGGCCGGACGCGCTTGAGGTGGCTCAGCTCGTTCTTGTTGCGAGTGCTGTGCTTGCGGACGAACTGGAAGACGGCGCCGGCGCAGCGTGCGGGGAGGTCGATGGCGTAGCAGGTCACTGTGTGTGTGGATTGAGGTCAGCGAAACGGCAGATGGCGAAAAAGCGCCGAACGCACTGAGCGAGAGTTCTGCGTCTTCCGGGTCGATGATCTCCGTCACCTTTCGCCACGGGAACTCGGCTTCGTGCGGACCGACAACCTCCTCGTCCCTCTCTGCGAGCTGCTCCGGCGTCAAACTCTTGAGGTGCGCGAGGCGCGCACGGTCGTCGTCCGCCTGTTCGAGCTTGCCATCGAACGAGTCGAGGTTTCCGAGTCCGCCCCAGCCGTCTTCGGCCGTCTCCACGTCTTCGACTTGCGCATCTTGAGGTGCAGCAGCGTCTGAATGGGAGAAGCGAACCGAGTGGCCATAGAAGATGAGGAGCTCGTCGCCGCGCTGGACGGGCTTGGCGGTGCGGTACGAGATTGTGTACTGCGAATAGTCGAGCGAGTAGGTGACGTTTGGCGAGGCAGAGTGGTTGAAAAGGGAGCCTGCAGGATGCGAGGGTAAGGAGAGCCTTGAGAGCGAACTGACAGCGAACGTACCGATTCCCAGCGCAACAGCCATACTGCCATCCCGGCCCCAAGTGAAGACGTATCCGCGCAGCTGACTCGCCTCGACACCCTTGAGCACGCCGTCGTCCTCTGCGCCCTCCTTCCGACCCTTGTACTCCTCCTGACTCAAGACCAAGACCGGACTGATCTCGATGACCTGTCCAGCGGGAATGTCCTCCGTCGCAAAGACGCCTCGTCCGACAGACGAGTCGCGTGTGGCGATCTCGATGGGTGCGCGGGTGAGGTGAGGAGTTGCGGGAGGGTAGGCGAGAGAGCCGGAGCTGGAGTCGCCAAAGGGAGGGGGAGGGTAGCAGTAGGCGAGATCGGTTCGGCTAGCGCCTCGCGGCTTGCCCGCAGTCTCATCCAGGTTGTTACGCTTTCCAGCGCCCGCAGGAGGAGCCGCAGTCGGTGCAAGCGTATCCGGGAGCTCCTGCTCGACCGGGCTGTCGACCGCGTCGTCCTTCAAGGACAAGGCGGCGACAGAGGGAAGATCGGCGTGTGCGGTCGAGGACGGCGGGTGAGGGGGTTCAGCGAGCAGAGTCGGGTGTCCATTCGCGCCGTCGTCGCCGTTCGTGCCGTGATGAAGGGGGAGGGCATCGATAGTAGGGCTGCTCCCGCGCCCGCGGCCTGTTTTTTTGTCGGTTTCGATCTGCAGATGGCTCGAACATGTCAGAAACGTCCCTTACACGCACCAGAAGCTCGCCCGCGAGGTGTGCCCATCGAGTTCCACCCTCATCAGCCAAAAGTGAAGAAGGGGCCCGCTTACACGAATGTCTGCATTTCCGGCGGCGCAATTGAGCATCAAACGATCAGGAGAGGAAGCCTAGTGGCAGGCGAAGGTAGACAGCCTGGTCGCTGTCGCCGTGAGCGGGAGTCGTGAGCGGTTGTGGAGCGACCCTCTCCCTCTCGCTCCGACCACTCCCTTGGACCCGCTCCAACTCGTTGAGCAGGCCTGCTGGCTTCGTAGACGTACATACACGAGTCTTGGATTGTCCACCACTTGTTCGTGACCGCCTGAGTCGTCCCCGTTTCACACTCTCTCGACCTCCTCGCTCGCGTCCAAGGCCCAGTCGCGTTCGGCAAAGGCTGGCCTCCAGTTCCCCGTCGGTCGTATCCACCGTCTCTTGCGCAACGGCAACTACGCCCAGCGCATCGGTGCAGGTGCTCCCGGTGCGTTCGCGTGATGTTGTCCTCCTCGCGACTTGGCGTGTTTACTGACTTGCCCGCTCGTTCTCCTGCACAGTCTACCTTGCTGCCGTCCTCGAGTACCTCGCTGCCGAGATCCTCGAGCTTGCCGGCAACGCTGCCCGGTAAGTGCACGCCTTGCGACTGATACTCGCCCACGTTGGCTGACCTTCACACTATCCTCGACGCGCAGTGACAACAAGAAGTCGCGCATCATCCCGCGTCACCTTCAGCTCGCCATCCGCAATGACGAGGAGCTCAACCGCCTCCTCGGACACGTCGTCATCTCGCAGGGTGCGTTCTCGTGCTCGCCGTTCTCGCGCCCTCGCAAGTACTGACTCGCTCTTCTCTCTCCAGGTGGTGTCTTGCCCAAC